AGAGAGAGAGAGAGAGAGAGAGAGAGAGAGGGAGAGAGAATGGGAAAGGCGGGGGGAGGGGGGCATAGAGACCCTTTGTTCTTCATAGTCGTGTCATATGACATTGCCTATAATTAACTTAAAGGGAAACGGTACCGAAGATTCTCTACTAATCTACTATACACAGCTTTGGCGGTACTGTGTCGATGGGGCTCGTGTGGTGCCGAACTACACGAAACCCAGTTGAACTTGCATCAGGAAGAAGGAGAAGGGATACTTATTTAATTGTCTACCTGCTGGTCAATTATCACATGATACATAAATGGGCGGTCGGGGGACTGGACGAGTCCTATCCCAGTCATGGACCTGTGCACACGTGTATCACGGTGGGCGTTGACTCAGCGCCGTGTGATAAGCCCAGTCAGCGTTACAAAGTCCAGAACATGTGTGATTTTCCACTGGGCGCGTTATGGTAAAGGTAAAGTTGTTCCCGCATCCGATCCAGACATTGGGGATTGCTTTGTTAGTGAGACAACTTCCTGGGCCTTCGGCATATTTCGATAGGGGAGCCAGTGTCCATCGTCTTGCCATTTATATCTCTAGCCCCACCTCTGTAACCCATAACTTGAGCGAGGTCAACATGACGTAATTAGGTCACTATGTTAGAAGTTGGAATGGTGCAGTGGTGGAAGTTTTATTACTCGAGTGTGTATTCCAATGCAGGATGAATGAAGTTGATTGCAAATAAAATAAGTTCACCAAACAAAGTAACAAGAAGAGAGTGAAAGAATTAGGTCCCCATCAACCCAAAATTATCAAAATAATACTTCCAACAAAAAGTGGAGTGGCTTATTATAGCCAGCGTTAGGTTAATACATGTACTCATTGTAGGCCTGCTGTTTCTCCTGTCTGCTTTTTGGAACTGAGGATCTGGAGTGATAATCTAAGACACGTTTTACTGATCTTGTCCTTGTGGAACAACGCATTAAAGTCACGAGGCATCAAGGGCGCACATAAACAATGCCGTTAAGTATAATACTTTCCAGACAAGTAGACATAGCAGCGCAGCTAGTCGTTGGTCATCGCATTGCAACGTCTCACAATAACGAACAGGCATGTATTGTGTAAGGTTATCGAGTGTATTTTGTTCTTTGAAACTCACGAACTCGCTCTTCGCGGTCATGAAAAGGGTGATTTGTCGGGGAACAGATATATTTTTCGCTAACGCTATGCAGGCTCTTTGACATTTTTTCCTACTCTACAAAATGCATCGACGTTCTCAGGCGCGTTTGTCACCGGAATATTCCATGGCCGTCTGAAACAAAGCGGAATTTACAGTCTCGACTAATAAGTAAAGCAGTCTTCATTTGGAAAGGAGAGATCCAGCTTTGTCTTGCAGAAGTTAGGTTTGAGCAGAGGGACAATAATTCCATCGACAATGGTATCTTGAATGTATTAAAGAGCGAAACATTTCTCTTAAATCTTTTTGCACTTTTGCAACAAAATGTTCGCGCACGTTGACGCTGTTTGTGGGATCCTCTAACACAGAAGTACAACGCCCATAGCAACCTAACAAGCTGTAGAAACGTTTAAAGTAGCCGTCGATGAAATTAGAAACAGTATACAAAACAGACCACAGAAAACACGCTTTCAAGAGGCGCAGACATTACAACACCAACGAAATTGCTGCAAAGCAGGCCTGAGACATAATCGTTTCTCAAATTGTTGACAGTTTCTTGAAGCAAAATAAATTCAACGCACTATCAATCTTTGACTCCTCCAAATTCCAGGACTACTAAAAGTCGTTTCCTACAGTTCTTTTATGATCGTTTACAGAAATATTACTGTTTTGCATAAATCAAGTTACAAACAGAATTATAAGTATTTCATTGCAATGAAACATTTAAGTCTGCTCAAGGTCGTACAATCCACGGTCTTTATTCAACTCTGAAAAACTACAAACTCGACACAACATTTAGTGAAGTATGCAAAATCATAGAAATCACACTGACGTTTACGTCGATCCACAAGGACATCATTGACAGCATGCCCAACTTCGTCAACAGAATAATGGACACTTTTGCTGCAGCAAAAGAACGAAAGGAAGACTTCTTCTTCAAATAGATTTTCTCTAAACAAGTAGGACGAAGAAGCCTTCCCATTTATCATGCCCTTGACTATCTTCAACTACTTTAACCTAATTGTGCGCGCCCACTTTTAAGACCCACGAGCCGCCCCTGCCTTTTCTGGATTAACGTCTTACAGCCTTAGAGACTTTCTAACAGTAAATTCCCCACCAGCAAACGTCTGATGAGTCTGGAAGTGAAAGCAAGAAAACGAGACCAGAAAGGATGGCACAACCCTAATGTACGTGTCTATCGGTGCACTAAGAAAGCCTCCAAAAGAACCCCTCTTTCTTTTCACTGGTAATAATAAGATTGATAATTATAATTTAGACAGATTAGATCCAGATCTATGTTTTGAAGAAAATATTCGAAAAGATTAGGAGCCTATGGTCTGGTCAAAGCCTACTTTCAGTTAATTAATATAAAATTCAACCACTGTGATTTTGCCTCGCCTTTCTGTTTAACTACTTACTTAAACAACACCGAAATCCAAGCTAGATCTACTAATCTGAGGTACCAGTTTCACTCACTTAACTCACTGATTTAAGATATTAAACATGAACAGTCATAAGCCTGTAAATATGCATCCGTAGTAATATAAAAAGTATCAGTAATAATAGTAATAATATTTATTTTTATGGGATGATAATGGATTGGAGCAACGCTTATGGCATAAAAACTCTAGAATTTTTGTCGGCTATTCTCGATTAAATATGATTCCAAACTACTTAAATTGGGGGGGGGGGGGGACTTGGAATTGGGATTCGGGAGGGGAGAGAGGGTGGGTGGTAGGGATGTTTCCTTGACATCCCCATCTTTTCATACTTCTTTAAAAAAAATATAAAAAATAAAAAAAATAAAAAGGGCCAAGCCTCGCCTACTGCGTATGAGAGAGAAAACATGCCTCGCCCATTGCTTTAGCTGTCCCCGTAGGATTATGCAAATTTAGATGGCCAAATTATGCACAAAAAAGCAAAATTATGCAAAAATTATACAAGTTACCGTAACACCATTTGCGACATGTTTTGCACTTTTCAGCAAGTATTTTCACGATTTTCAGGTTTTTTGTACAGAAAAATTGAAAACAACGTATCAGTATCAGTAATTTGTTGTGTATTTGGAAAGAAAACAATACACATCAGTCAGAAAAAAACAACCCAAAAAAATAATCCCTGTAACTTTCAGCTGTAGATCTAGATCTAGATCTAGATATCTAGGTCTCTTTAGAGGGAAGAAAAAAAAAAAAAAAAAAAAAAAAGGACATCTGGACATCTGATGCTGGCACATTACTAAAACCAGGAACAACTGTGAAACATGAAACATCAGCAGACATGAGAACAACTTTTGATGGATTGAAAAATTGAACATGCTCAAGGAACAAAATCCCAACCCAATACCAAGATCTTCTAACAAGGGAAATAACCAGCTTATCACGAGACTTATTACGGTGATTACCTCCCTCTAGTCACATGACGAGGCGTTAACTGTTTTGTGGAGAAAAAAAAACAAGAAAAAAAACGTGAAAAAACGCGGGGAATCCAAAATTATGCAAATGTTGCAGAATTACGCGAAAAAAACGCGGCCGCGGCGACAGACTTTAGCAAGGACTCTTTCACGCACAGCTTGCCAACATGAACATTTTCACAAAGAAGTGATTAATGAGCTGTGCAATACAAAGAACATAGTTATGCAGCGCACAGCTCCTATCCTCTCTCTCTCTCTCTCTCTCTCTCTCTCTCTCTCTGTGTGTCTCTCTCACTAGTCTCACTCTGTCTCTGTCTCTCTGTCTGTCTCTGTCTCTGTCTGTCTCTGTCTCTTTCTCTCTCTCTCTCTCTCTCTCTCTCTCTCCAGTACATCCTTGAGAAAATACAATCCCACAAAGCTTACCAGACACCCCCGCACACATTGATGAATTCACATAGTCAGAAATTCTTCAGAACAGAATAGCATGAAAAAACGATACTGAGAGAAAAATGAAAGAACACAATAATATTAATTGTATTGGGAATGTAGGAAATTACAGATTGAAGATGGACAGAAACAAATGCGTTTTAAGTGCTGATTAAAACTTTGATAAAGTGGAGGACTCCCGAAGACAAATTCCTTTTGACTTCCAAATGTTGAGTCCAAATTTGAAACGCAAATGCGGCAAAACTTTAGTGTGGAGGTAAATAATGACACAAAAAAAGTTGTAGTTGTTTTTTTGTTTTGTTTTGTTTTGTTTTGCTTTTTTTTTGGGGGGGGGGGTGGCCCTGTAGTTTGGTTCTGAAACTTCAATTACAGTACCTAATACTTATTTCTATTTACAGGACAAATTAACATTGTTCTGTGCGTTTGCTTGTGTGAATTTAGCAGTAGAGTTTTAATATTGACAGTTTTTAAGTCGGAAACGAATGCAGACTTGGTGCGTATTTAGTAATTTAGCGAGTGGAAGCTCCTTGTTTGATCATATCTTCTGTTGCTGTTAGACTATGAATACATTCAATATTCGAAATATTTATTTTTTCGGATAGGTTCTATTTCGTCTCTATGAAAGAGAATTTGATTAGTACTAGATCTATTTTGAGGCGAAAGCTTGTTAATGCTCGTGTCCGAACAGTAAAATGCAGAAAAATCTGGATTGTCTCGTACCCAATGACGCCACCTGAACCGCTTGTTAGCAACCATTTTCACGATCGTTGAAAGTAATGGCAGTTGATGAAGGCCTTACATATATGGAGGTTCTCTTATGAATGCAGTTTTGTCGACAAACTGACGAGACTATGAAGATTGAAACACATATATACTCTATGTTGATGCAGAGACTGTAACGGTGAGATGTGACTGAAAATGTATTGGGTGTTAAACAATTTTGTATGTTTTTTTAAAGCGTGGCTATTCTTCGGCGTCGCGCCGGTAAATAGATCGAAAGCTATTCTCCGGCGTCATAATAAGGCCTAGTAAGTCTACCTTTCATTATATTTTACCTATGGTAATTGTCTAACATAACTAGATCTAGATCTATTCATTTATTCCCGTCGTCCATTTGCTTATTTAGAATAATGATTCTGTTTATTTAAACGAACAAAATTGATTCTGTGTCTAAAATCCTGTCTAGTCATATAGATCTAGAATCTAGATTAGATTCTAGATCTAGATCTAGATCTAGTATAGATCTAGCTTGCTGTTTAACTTATGAAAGTGGCTATTCTCACCCGCCCGGAAGTTCTTGCAAGATCAACTCCTCCCCTCTTCTCTCTCTCTCCGTCTCTTTCTGAATACTGTCTATCGGTGTGGACGATCAAATTGACCAAAACAAAGTTAAAAAATGATGTTAAAACAACAAAAGTAAATTAATTTGGTTGTCTACAAAGATGCTACGGCTCTTTAACTTTTCGAATCGAGCCGAACTACGCGGGTCGCCATTTTGTTTTGCCAGGAAATTCTCGCGCTACTCCTCTCTCTCTTTCTCTCTCTCTCTCCACTGCCCACAGACAAAATTGTACGCTTTTAGTAGGCTACAGTTGTAATGGAACGTTTGTTCACGGCACAGAATTCTACAATTTTTCTGTTATCACAGTGTAGAATTCTGTGGTTTAGAGTGAACGCAAAATTTGGTGAACGCGCACCGGGTGAGAATAGCCACAAGACTCGCCTGCACTATTCTCACTCCGGGTGAGAATAGAGGTGGCCTTAACTTATTTCATGTTGTTGTAATTTTCTATCAATTTAACTGGTATGTCGCGACATCAGTGCTTTCTTGTCGTATCTCCATTTTTGTAAACAGTGAAAATATGACTTATTCTTATGCTCACTCTTTGTTATGAACTCGCGTCAATAGTTGTGAACACGTTTCTTCTAGCACCCAACATATTGCTAAATTGGAGGAATTGGGGCAGTTTGTGTCTGAAAACCTATTGTCTGTAAGGGGCACGAAGTGGTAAAGTTGTGAGAATTATTTTCCAAGACAAACAGATGAGAGAGGTATTTGCAAATCTGCACCGACATATTATTAGTAATAGACCGACGGCGTGACGCCGGAGAATAGCTTCTGATCTATTGACCGGCGCGACGCCAGAGAATAGCCACTAAGCCACTTGCCTTTTTAAAGGGGGAGACAACAATAGCAGTCCACCTCGCTATGATCTCACCTAGCGCAGTTCTAGGCCCAGGGTGAGAGGGCAAATCTTCTTCCTATTCTCACCTGATGTGGGTTCTCCACTTAGTGCATCAGCTCAGGCCGATCACTCCGAGTGAGAGGGTGAGCCTTTTGGCTAATCTCACCCGGTGTGCGTTCACTGTGATACAAGTTGAGTGTAGTGTAAACAAGCGTTCCAGCGCTCTTGTGTTGAAAACGCGCAATTTTGTGTACGGGCAGTGAGAGAGAGAGAGGGGGAAGGGGATGGAGGAGAAAGAGATAGGGAGAGACAGAGAGAAGGATATCGTAGCGAGAACTTCCGGGCAAAACATAGTGGCAACCGGCATAGTTCGGCTTGATTCGAAAAGTGAAATAGCCACAGCATCTTTGTATACGACCAAATTAGTTTACATTCGTGCTATAACATCATTAAAAAAAATATGTATTTGTCAATTTGGTCATCCACCGCGATAGTGACAATAGACAGCAGCAGGCTTGTTTCACACCGGGTGAGAAAAGCCTATGATGGCAAGTCTCACCCGGGGTGAGATGTCGATTGTCTTTTTATTCTCCCTTCTTCTTCAATAAAAATTAAAGAGTAATAAAATACCAAACGATTCAAATGAGTACAGAAAAGATAAATCCATTGTTGAATGCATGTAACAATGCATGTTCTGTTTCTTTGTCCGGCCTCCCGCGTTAGGCCATAAATCACCGTCTCACTAACAAATAGCCTGCTGTGGTGTCAGGGAAAATCATTTGTGTAATGATGAACTACCGTGGAATCAGACATGTGGTTTGCTCGTTCTTTCCTATCAAACATGTATTATCCTTATCTTTTCTGTTCTTGTGTGCGCTACTCTCTTGTAACACCACTAGTCTTCGGCACTTATATGATCTAATTGTGTTGTAAGTGCCTTCAAATGCTTAACAAAACTACATGAATCATGCACTCTTCAATTTTTGGGCATTAGAGTTAATCGTATAATATCATCTCAATGCTTGTTCATATACTTTTGGTGAAAAAAAATACCTGTCTGTCTTGAATATAAGTAGAGATGTTTGCGAGTGAAAGAGGTGGGGGTGGCTTGGTGTCTGAGAAAATTAGTGAGAAAATGGCACCCAAATTTTGATGACTTCTGAAGTTGTTTACTCTTGGAATTAACAGATTAATTTATGTTTTATACCCCCATGATTGTTCTGTTAACCCAATTTGGTGTAAACAAATATAGTATTCTCCACCTAAGATCCCATGAGTTACGATCCCAGTTTACTTAAGTTCCTGCTGTTTTAAGAGAACAGAATTTTTACCACACAAAAATCACCTCTAAGATCCGGCCAGGGGCAGTTTGTTAACTCGGCAAGACCGGCGGTGCGGTTGAATGTTTGTGAACTGGACTGTTGACAAGAGATTTATTGCTGATGATGATTTAAGGAAATCCAAACAAACATGTATCAACATTCAAAAAGCACCTTGCCGATGTGAAGACGCTCAAATAGACAAGTGGGATTCACTGCTTTTTTGTCGAGACAGAGCCTCTTTCCTTCATGTTTGTTTATTGTTTGGTACTTATTCATTTTTTTTTTTCGCTTTCTCCCCACTAATAACTTACCTGGCCCATATGAGTCTAGCCGGCAAAAAGAGGAATCGTCTAGTGAAGATATATAAGGAGAATTATAACGAGGAGCGATAGGCTCTCGGCTGTCAGAGTCTGGGCCAAAAACAATAGGCTTACCCTCTCCCTTCCCTCCCCTTTTCCACTGTCATCCCAGCTGGACACCAAGTTCTATAATTAGCTTTTGACACACTTCCCCACGTTGCTACAACAGTGTTTTGAGAACTGAGAAGTACGATGAAGAACGTTTGATTACATAATGATGGAAAACTGTTGTGTGCTAACTTTGTCCAGCTTTGTATAGTATCTGGTTGTAGACTTAAGGTCTGCATGAGACAGCATCACTGGTACAGTATCAATTTACTTTTTGTCGTCATACAGGACAGTTCTTATTACTTATTTACAGGTCGAGTGCACGTCGATATTGTGTGTGGGGGTGTTGAAAGTAAAAGTCTTTGGTTAAAGTAGATCTGCTGGAGGCCAGGACCAGCAGTTTATTGCTTCTCTCTTTCACTTTGTTTTCTAGCATAGACTCTAGTAGTAGTAGTGTTTCTTTTTCTGTGCCGACCAAGTCAGTTTCTATTTATCTCATTAACTTCCATCACACATTATTCATTATATTGTTTCTTGACGCTACCATATTTCAGCTCTTTCACATTATATTAGGGGGCTCTCGTGGCCTACAGGTTAAGATGTTGGCCTCTCATTCAAAGGTCATGGGTTCAAATCCGGGTAGCGACCGACAAATTTTCTTCTCTAAAATTGTCTCCTTTCACCTCCTTTCCTGCTCTCTAACATTATTCTGTCGTCTGCTTTCGTCTCCTTTTTCTACCCCCACCCCCTCACCTCCTTTGCCCATTCCTCTGGGCTCCTGACTCTTTCTGCAGCCTTTCTACTGCTACTCCTTGACTCCTTTTTACTGCTCTCTTTCAGCCACACCCCTGGTCTTCTGGTAGGAAAGATCTACCCCTAGCTTTCTCGAACAAGGGCGAAAAATCTCGAAGGGCCCGTGTGCAAGTTGCGCACGTTAAAGATCCCTTGGTGGTCCAAAATCGATTAGAGTAGGCTGCGGCCGCAACCTGCACAAAATTCAAAATTTCCTATCAACTGAAAAAGTTTAATGTGTCCCGCGCGCTCATATGACCTTATGCAGTTGTGAGCGCCGTAAAACACTTACCCCAAAAAAAAAGCAAACCAAAAAAGCATTGTAATATTATAATGTTTACAGTGGTGTGTGTGAGTGGGGGAGGGGGGTGGGGATGGCGAAAGTAGGGGTATAAAATGAGGAGAGAGAGAGAGAGAGAGAGAGAGAGAGAGAGAGAGAGAGAGAGAGAGAGTATGTGTGTGTGTTGTGAAGGTAGGGGGTGGGGGGGAGGGAGAAAGAGTTGATGTGAATGATGGCCGGTCAGTTCTATAAACCACGAGCCGCCGCTGGATCCGGCTCTAATTCACTCTGAAGGTCTACATTCGGCTAAGATCCCACATTTCAGATTATAATTTACGGAACAAAAAGCCCTGACAGGCACAGCGGATCAACGAAGAGTGAAAAGTTAAGATAAAAAATGAAGTGCCTGTCATGTCAAGGATCAGCCACGCTCTTGAATGTGATCACATGTGCATTATAAAACTCAACGAAACGGTACAATGTTTGCCCCAAACAGAATCACACCGAAGTATGAACAGACCGATGCGTTTGTTTTCCTTAAACATCACACTCGCATCTGAGCTCTCCAACTAAACTTACACCACATGCTGGGGTGGGGATAGGGCCTACAATTTCGATCTGTGCGGGATCATATCGAACTGTGAACTCTTCACTGATCATTGCAGAAGTTGTCTCTTCTCCTGAATTTGCGAAACAACTAAATTTCAATTGGTGTTGTCCTAGGCTTTCTTAGACTAGGAACGCCTAGGTGTGGTCACAACGCAATAGTGTGTAACGACAAAGGCGGGGTACCTCAATCAGAGATGGAAAGCTATAAATTTTGGACAGGTAAAAGGGAGGGGCAACTGGATAAGCGTAGATCTTGAGACTCATGATAGGATATTAAAGGAAAATGGCATGTCTCACTCGTGCTACTGTGATTAGTCATCAACGTTGATCTCTCTTTGCTCGATATATATGTCATAAACCCACCCAGGGGTCATGTCAGTTCATGTTAGAGTGAAGGGAGACCATTTTACCAGTTGTGGGCCTTAACATGGACCACCATAGATTCTTCCCTTGGTGCATCAGCTGAGGTCCTGTTCGCCTAGGATCCTGCCCTTTTCTTGCTCCCAAGCACCGGGATCTTTGGCAGAGACTACTGTACTTCATACCACAACAAAGAAGATACTTGATAGAACTTCTTCCCAGGGAGAGATTCAAATTCAAGTCTTTTGTTTTATGCATTGCACCACTGATGCCAGTAAAATAGGTAGAACAATTTAATGCTTTTCCTTCATTTTCGGCAATCATTGTGGACTACTTGCCTAGGACAAACCTATAAACTTTTTGCTTTCATGGCAAAATGTTCACTCACTGATGTGAGTTTGTTTACAACTACACCCTGATTTGAGTGTAGGTTCCAGTAATAATTCATCTTATTTAAACCCATGATTCTAGTAGTGTGAGTTACATACTTTTGTCAAATTATTATCAGTTTTTTATGTAAGTACATTTTTGCCCTTCTGATGGTTCCAAACCATATTTTTTTCTCGGCTAGATGTTATACTGTTTTGGACTCTTCTGGAAATCTTGTTTTCTATTTTCTGTTGGAATTTTTCTTGTCTGAACTGTGCTACATAATTTATTAGTGGACTGGAAGATGTAATATACCCTCTATATTATCACAGTTTTTCCTTATCACCTTTTTTTATTTCATCACAGATTTTTTGGACCTCTAGTCATGCCTAAGACAACGCCCTTTACAAAAGTGAAAAGTGGCTAGTGAGTATTTTTCCGTAAAATTCATGAAATTAAAATGAATTATTACAACTCTTAATTTGTAGATTTCTATTTGAGAAAGTCTAATATTTAAACTATTCCTGAGTGTTTTGAGAAAATAACTTAACCGACTTAGGAGAAGATTTTAATGTCTTGGACTATTGTGTCCTAAAAGATTTCATAGTTTGGCATTTTGTTCTCTCCAGAATATAAAAATTTTAGATAGAGAAAGATTACTTTGCTCCTTTAGATGGCAATTTTAGTTGTGAGTTCAGTTCCTGCCAGTCTCGGGTAGATGTTGTATCTATATATGAAAGGTGCTTTATCCATTGTATACTCAAGTCGCAAATGGGTACTTACCAAAAGGCAGAGATTCAACAGGACATGTAAATGACATTTATAGATGTCTATCAAGCTGCAGCTGTATGTCCTACAAGGCGATTGAAATGATAATTTGAAACAAAAAAACACCCAAGGAAGTTGATCATCTGACATTTGTGAGCCTTCAGGACTATAAACAAAAGCACTTCAGAAAGATAATTTGTTTCATGACGTGGTGAAATCAAGTGCTGGTCAGTTTATAGCCATTTGGAGTTATTGGTATAACCTTAAAGCCTGTTCCGTTGCCTTGCATATGATTTAAAAAGATACCCATTTATCTTGAATGGAAGTTGAGATATTTACAATTAATGAAAGAGGTGGGGGTCACCTTGTATCAGAGGAAAATTTAGCAAAAAAATGGCCGCCCCGTTTTGGTGATTTCCATAGCTTGTGGTCCTTTGAGACTGCTAATTTACATTTTCCTTTGTGCGTTTCATCAACAATTCTCTTTAAAATTCACACTGAAGTGTGTTTTAAATGGATATGAAATTTAAGGTGTTGAGCGAAAAATGTTAAAAATTCGATAAAAATTGCCTACCTAGAGGGAAAATGTCAGTTTATTGGATTTCATTATATTGATGAGTGCTTGATTCTGTACCATGTTGCCTAAAATTTGTCCTCTTAAATTTCAGTGCTTGTTTTCTCTTTGATTAAAACATACTGACTTGTAGACTGAAATCATGGCACTTAAAAATTTGAGAGGAAGCTTTCAAAACAATTACCACAGGTTGACTGAAGTGTTTTGTTTGCCTAGCTTTTAGTTAATGACTTTTAACTACTATGTCTCACTTAAAGTATGTAGGCTATGCATCTTGGAAGCTAGAGATTTTACTGTTGTAAAGATTCGTTAATGTATATCTCTGTTGTGTGTGCCTCAATTTGACCAGTTGCAAAATATTAGGTTGGTTATGATGATGTCTATCATGATTTGAATAGTCTTTAGAATACTACAGTAACAATTTTATTTTGTTTGTAATTCCCTAGTGAACGCACTGGCATAAGATTCAGATGTTCACTTCAAAATACGATTCTTGATGTTCTGAGAGCAAGGCCAGGCTGGACAGAAGTGACCACGTGAGCGCATTTTGTGTGTAAAAAGGGATGGTGTTTAGCCTGTAGTAGTGTCAAATCAATTTTTTATTTCTGGGATAGAATTGAAGGATTTTACTTTTATGATGATGATTGAGCGCTGCGAGTAGTTTAGAAATCTACTTACTTGCACCGCTGTCACTGGTACATAAAATGTGATGTTTAACAATAGAAAACAGCACTTTGATGTCTGCCTTCTAACAGGTCAGTGGTGATAGTGCTGTTCTTGCAAAAGGAGTGGCTCATGAAAAATGATATTATTGCAAAGGGGCGAAATGTTTTGTTTACCTAATTCTTTGTCAGTCAAATTTGAGCAAATGAAAGTAATTTTAGGTCAGATGTTTGAGAGGAGTTTCCAATAATGATTTCCCTGGCCTTTATATGTGCATTTATAATTGTTTAATGCAATAATTTTCAATCACAATGTAGGCCCTACCTATAAATCATACTTGATGTTGGTCATGAAGAATTATATTTGCAATTCATCTTTTCCTTTTATCAGGCAAAATGAGTATTTTCTTCTTAACCAGCAGAAGAAGGAAAAACAAATTGTTTTTCATGTAAATTGTTAAGAAGGACTTCTGTTTTTGTTCTTGTATGGCACGATCATGTAGCAGAAAAAAAGAAGACTGTTGTTGGCTCTACTGATTTCCCCAATGGCTGTACTATAAGATTCTAATTGCCAAATTTTTCTCTGCATTTTGTCTCTAGTACTGAAATATTTTGCCAGCACTACCAGAGAATGTTGGATTATTTTGGCACATTTTGCTACTCTAGGGATGTTGAGTACTCAATTAATTTTTGCCCATTTCTATTTATTATTTTGGAACTATTTATTATTTTGGAACTATGTATTGTCAGAAAAAAGTGCTAGAAACATTTGAATAGTTTGATATACTGTGATATGGAAGTGAAAATGCCTTTTCCTCTATCTTGTCAACTGAAGAGTAGACTCACAATACTGAGGTCTCCTTGAATGGTACCCTCTCCAGTGTAGGTAGAATAGTGAGGAGTGTGAAAATGTGTATTCGAGGTTTTTTTTTTTTTTCTTTCAATTTTGCCTTTTGTTCTTCTGTCTTTTCCTTTTGTTTACTCCTTTACTACACCACATTTCAGTCATGACTGGGAATTCTGTTGGTGTGACAGAGATTGGCTGAACACACAAGAGGAATACAATTACTTCCCTGAGAACTCCAAAGTCAGCCACTTCAGAAATTTCTATGAGGTCATAATCTAAGAAGAAAAAGGAAAAGAATTAGATAGACTATGCTAGAGATGTGTCGTTTTCGTGTTGTATTTGTTGTAGTCTGTGAAACTGTTTGGCTTGGTCATTGTTTCATCAATGTCTGCTTTGTTGATGCGCTGTAATGTTTGCAGTGTCATTTCTGTTGCGCAGACTGTCATACTTTGATGTCTTCATCTGAGTTGGTTGCCTTCAACTTTAATTTAAAATTGCCATGCCTGAGCCAATTACTTTTTAAACTTCTTAACACAGCTTGTTGATTTGCGTACAGTCTCTGCTTTGTCAACTTGTTTTTATTCTATATGAAAAGTTAACGAACTGTCTAATAATTGCACTGTCTGTTCTGTGCTGGTTTTGTGCTTTGTGCTTTAGGCTAGACTGCGGATTATCTGGTTTCAAAGATTTTATCGTCAAGTTGTTTCTGACCCTCTAAAAAAGAAAAACAAATCCTCCAATCTAATCAGATAACCACAAATGGACAAATTCTTGTGCCTACCCTTGCACACATACATTCGTGTTAAAAAAACACACACTAACCCACACACGAACACACACAAACACACACTCACACATATGCTCACTCATGCACACACATATGACCTCATTCAGTTGCAAGTGCCGTAAAACCTCTAGTAAAACTAAAAAACACACACACATGCTCACGCACACAAACACACAATGGGTGGTTGGTGGGTGCTCTGGTGTGGTTTGCTCCTTCTTTCCTATCAAACATCTATTGTCCTGATCTCTCTCCTCCTCCTTTTATATATTTGTTAACTATCTTGTAACACATCTAATTTTCGGCACTTATATGACCTTATAGTGTTGCAAGTGCCGTAAAACTCTTACTTAAACTAAACAAACACACACACAGACACACACACACACACACCCACACACATACACACACACATACACACACACACACGCACACACACACACACAATATTCTTTTGCTCAGATGCACTCATTCACATTTATATAGATGTACATACATTATACATTTGCACGCACGCACATGCATGCACAGCACATGCACACACATGCACACACTCACACACACACACGTGTGCATGCACACATGCGCACGCATGCACGTGCATGTGCTCTCACTCACGCACATGCCAGAGTTCATTCCACTCTTTTACTTTTCCTCTTCTTTCTTGATTACTCAACCTTCCACAATTCAATGGACCCCACTCAAGGGGAATGCCAGTGTAACAACAATATTTAACAATGGGGGACAAAATCAAACCATTCTTGCCTTCAGACAGTGAGATAGAAAATTCATCTTTAGTTATAGACGTATGTCCTTTTTTTCCAGTGACTTTGTGCATCAGCTCTTACTCAAGTTTGTTCTCCAAGGACAATACTGATAGGTCGTTCGTGGCTTCAGTTTTAAAAATATAATTGGTCTGCTGAAAGATGTTCATTGAGAACATAAGTTTCTTACATTTGTGTTGGGCTTTACGAGATCTGAAGTTTGCCTTCTTTTTTCAATTTTCATTGGAACAAAGTCTTTTCATCTAAAATTGACTCCTCTTCAGGTACCCAAAACTTGTGACAAGTCCTCTTCACCTTGTGTCTTCTGCTACTTCTGGAAACTGCTGTGTTCAGAGCATTTTTGTTTTACTCTGATTTGCTTTGTTTCCATTTGATCATTACCTCTTTGCCAATATAGGGTAAAAGATTTGACCTTCTATTTGAACAAATTTTTATATTCGCATATCTAGAGAAGGAGGAGCATGGGACATCTATTGGGCTGATGTTTGGTGGATGAGGGAGATTTTTGATCGAGCATACCTGGAGGATCAAATGAGATTAAATCATTTCAGAAACCATTTTGAGGTAGGAATTTTGAACGAAACGAGTTGTTTTTATTTACTCCATACTTTACATTTATGTATTTTTCTCTTCCCTAATTCACCCTTCAATATCTCCCAGTCACCGAAAGTGTTTAATTCATCTTTATTCATGATATTATAGAAAATGGATTACTGTGTCAACTGATAGATATTAGAGAGTGCCTTTGGAATATTTTCTTCCTGGCTTTGTAAATGGACTAGATACATTTGCATATTTTAAAATAGAATTTGAAGATTTTGTTTCTCTTTTCTACTTATAGATAAGGCTTTGTTTTGTTGGTTTCGCTCTTTATTTCTTTTAGCAATATTCAGAAATTGCTGTATGAATAACTCTATTGTATTCAAAGTGTCTACGTAGTAGTGTTGAGTTAAATAAAAATTTTCTACTGGTATTTTGAATTTTTCTGAATATTTTTTAATTTGTACTTCCTTTTCCTGTTATTCACACTTTTTTCTCTGCTTGAAATTTATAATTTAAAATCAACATTTGTAAAGTACCCGTGGCTGAAAACACAGCAGTTTCAATTCTGTCACCTGTGTGTTTTGAAAAGTGCTTTTGAGTTTCCTTCTAGAATACGTTTTTACGGCCTAATCAATTACTTTGTTCCTATTCCTACCTGCCTTTAATGTTCTGATTATTAATTGATGGTTTTTCTTCTCTTTTCACCTTTCTATAATTTTTGGTCATTTTTCAATGATGTCTCGTCACTGTATGGACAAGCTTTCACTGGTCCCTTCACGAATGAGTTCTTTTTCTGCTCGAGGATTGAAAAATTTTCTTAGTTCTCCACTTTGTTTTCTCCCTGCTTTTTACTTCCAGGCTCTTGAACACACAATGATTCTATTATTTCATGGTTCTCTTGTGCAATATACTAACATGAAGTCACATCTTTTGCTTGTTAATCTCTACCTTTTATCCCCACACTGATCCCTATGAACCAGTTGTATGAGGCCCTATTTATGTTGATAAAATTGCTAGTCTATTAGTAAGAAATTATGAATATGATAGCACAAAATCTGGGATATATTGGAGGCACATAGCCTACAATAAAGATTTTGGTCGTAATATCAAAAGAACCATATTCTATGGACTTACTCGGAAGGGCAGACATCCATTTTTATGTCGCCATTACTATTTCTAGGAGCAAGTTAATATATAACAATGTTCTCAAAAAGTATGATACAGATGAAGAGGGACTTAATTTTAAAAAAAAATTAATTTAAAAATGGGGGACAATTTTGACCCATTTTTTTACACACACAAAAAAACTTGCATGTTAAGCTCTTCCTGATTTTACTGTGTCTTAGCTCCTAGTGTTCTTTATATTTATGTATATTAGAAATGTTGTACACATATTGACACTTTTATACTTTTTGGGAATAGAGTCTACATATTTTAGCTGTGAAGCATTTTTTTTTGTGTGTGAGTGAATTTTATTTCATACGATTTTCTTTGGTTGTAGCTCTAATATATTTTGGGCACTTTTATTGTGTCCTTTGATTAATTCACCTGTACTGTGCATGTTCCTTTTCAAATTTGTTGTGAAATGACTTGAAAATTTCACTCCTTTTTTCATTCACATTACAAAACTAAGTATCTTTCAATAAGTATTTAGTGTTGTTCATATTTATAATGCATAGCTTTTTATCTATTGTTCTCAACTGAAAATATATCACAATTGTAAAGAGTGGAAAGAAATGTTCTACAGTGTGGGTAAAACTACTCTTCCTAACTTAATATGCTTGTCCAGAAATATAAACTACCATTTCATAGTTCATTAGTTTGAATTTTTTTCCTTTGTAATTGAGATTATGACAGAGGTATATTATGTCTCTTTATTTGTTTTATCTTTTCTTTTTTTCTTTTTTACTTATTTCCTGGATTAAGCCCAGTTTCTATCAGTTTTCATTCGTAAGATCCTTTTATGGTCTATTTCGACATTTCAGACGTGGTGGAATCAAGCGCTTGTCAATTTTTGGGCATGTGAAGTTACTGCTGTCATCTGAAAGCTGATTTATTTGCCTTGCTTCCCGTGGAATAAATGTCCATTTATCTTGAATAGTACTCAGGATATTTGTGATTGAAGGAAGTGAGGTCGCCTAGTTTCAGTTGTGAAATTAGCGAAAAAATGGCCTCCGAAGTTTGGTAACTCCAATAGTTAAAGAGTGTTTGAAAAATGACATATTTTATGCCTTTAATTAATGTTTTTGAGTAAAAACTCATATGGACATTTTCGCTTTGACGTAAAAGAGGTTAAGCTTGCATGGATGTAAAAGAGGTTAAGCCCAAAAATACAAATTCGAAAAAATGTTCAAACTGGCGGAAAAATGCCTTTTTCTCAAATTTTGTTATTTTTGACGAACGCCTGATTTCACCATGCTGCTCCACTTATGAAAATTTTTTTGAAATTGACCAACTACCAAATGTAATTATACTTGCGTTTTTGTTTCATCAGCTTACTAGGAAAAATTTGATGGTGAAGAATCTCAAGAGGCTTCGCCGGAGTCTGGAACGAGAGGCTGGAAAAGCTGAGGCACAGAAATATCCTTTATGATACATTGTACTTTAGCCATCTTTCCTATAAGAAGCAAAGTCTGCTTTTGAGAAATGATTTCCGTGGGTTGAAAAATTATTTTTTGCAACAACAAAACTTTCTTAAAACTAGTTCAATTGGGTTATTTATATAAAAATTGTTAATAGCTATGTTTCGGTTGGAACGTGCCTGTCAAGCAATTATATATGTGATGTGATACTTTTTACTTGTGCAACTTGAGATTTCAAGAAGCTGAATTCAATGTTATTGAAGGTTCTGCTCAGAATGAACACAAGGGGGAGTTGGGGGGGGGGGGGATTGTAATCTGTCCTTACTACCACTTTAGATGTCCCTGTCTTTATTTTTACCAGGAAAAAACAGCCTGGCAGACATGAACGGTAATTTTACTGACTAAACTTCATGAAGAGGTTTTTTTTTCTTTATAGAACATATGTGGGATCATAGAATACGTAGTGGTATAATCAATTTTGAACTTAAGCGCACCTATGTTGAGCTCTACAAACTTACCAAAGCCTTTTTTTTTGTGTATCAGTTCTTATTCATCGTTCTACATCTTGGCTCCTTTTGGAAATATGGTGAAGTAATTGTGTTTACTACATCCCTTGAGTATCCATACTTATTTCGTCAAACCAATCCTTAACTAATGATACATGCGACTTTTTTCCATCCACGTATGAACTTCCGGTGAGTACTTAGTATAATGTACTGTTTTTATAAATAGTTAAGCTAAGTATTGTTTATTTCCCTTGTCACAACAAACTTTGTATCTTAGGTAATATCTAGTTTAAAACTTGATCAATCCTGTCATATTTAATACTCAATTTTAAATTTCAATTTAATGTTTGTTCTGAGTCTGAGTTAATTTGTTCTTTAAATAGGGTGATAATAATATTTGTTTTTCCATTCAAACTACGAAATGTTATGCCTTGGTGTATTCAAGCCGCAAAATGTGATTGTGGGCATAGTCTTTGTAGCTTTTAAGGAGTCTTAACCTCTTCCTCTTCTTTACAGTCAGAATACCACATCTTTGTGGATGAATTTCGACGCTGTCCTGGCACCATTTGGATTATGAAACCTATTGCAAAGTCGCAGGGGAAAGGCATTTTCTTATTCAGAAAACTAAAGGACATAACGGACTGGAAACGGGTCAGTATTAATTAAGCAAAATCCTTGAAAGAATAATTTTTTTGTCCCATTATATTTAGCCTGTATTTTTTTTGTCACCAATTTGAACAAAATTTGATCTAAAACGAGTTATAGGCTTCATCGACTCCTTTGGAAACCCAACACATTTGTAGGTACCCCTAACATAGAATCAAGTGAGCAGTTTTGAAAAAATGCATTTTCATTATAATCTAATTAAGCAGGAATTAGGATATGAAATTGAAGACATTGTTCAAGCAAAATCTTTCCTATAATAGATTGCAACACACTAAAATTTTGTGTGGAACAGACCTTACAAAAATGTTTTTTTTAAAAAGATTTTTTATTGCAATTTCTGCATGGTTTAGAGGAGGTAATTTGGAAGAATTGGCTACATTTTGTTTGTGCAAACTTACCATCTTTCATTTTCTTACTGCTGTCTTAAAAGAAAAATGTTAACATCACCAGTGGGATACAGACTGATGCTGAGCTCACTGTGGTAGAACCTCCCATGCCCCATGTGCCTTGCACAAGGTCATATAATCAATGTTGTCATTATTGCTTATTGTAAAGAAGATCCATTTGTGAGGCTCATTGTGAAAATGTTGAAATTACAAGTGAAAATGTTGCACTCTTAGCTGAAATTATTTTTAGATAAATTTTAGTCAACTTTTTGGTCTGATTTGTCATGTTCTGTACTCTTACATGCTTCTTAAGTACCGATATTGAATTGTTTTGATTGTTTTTCTGTTTCTGCTGTTGTGTACTGTATCACATCTTTTAGTTGCCTTCAAAGATGTCATGTATGTTGGGTTTTTTTCTCAACATAGGACTATCTTAACATCTCTTTCCTATTTATTTTGTTATAGCAACACTGCTATGTACAATGACATGGCAATTTTATTCAGTTTTGTGTTATTTTATTGTAATCAAAGTATGGATATCACGCCCGTTTATGGCAAGATAAGATTTTCATTGGACTCGATCTCTCTTCAGGGGGTAGAGTACCAGCCTCCTATTCAAAGTGTTGGAGATGGAGCTCCACAACAGATAGAGACCTATGTGGTTCAAAGATATATTGAAAATCCGTATCTCATTGGAGGACGCAAGTTTGACATTAGAGTGTATGTTCTGGTCACTTCAGTAAGTTTTCTTCATTATTTCCTTGTTTTTGTTCCTTTATTGACTCACTGTTAGTTTTGATCCTGTGTTTGGAAGGGGTGGTTGGAAAAGCTCATTACTGTATCTGTAGATGTAAGTTGTGGTTTCTTCTCCTTATAACGACAATGGAGCGTAGTTATTATCTCGGGCAACTGACAGTGTGTAAAAGATGCTGGCAAACTAAACTGTGGGCCCCTTCTCCTGACCCTTGTTCATTTGCACTTCACTTAAATTTTGTGGGCATACTCCTGGGAATTAATTTTATGTATATATATAGGCTATATATATATATATATATAGTGGTAGTCCACGTAAATCAAACGCAGGTAATCCCAAAATAGAAGTTAAGCAAAAGAGAACAGGATTCCAGATTTTTTTTCTCTGTGAGTAACCTCAGTAAACTGATAACCTGGCTAAACAAAAGAAAACCTGTCAGTCCCGCTGACTTCAGTTTCAATTAAGCAAACTCCACTGTATTATGAAAACATCTGTAAGTTATTGTAGGAAGCAAAATGTAAGTTTTGCTGAAATGCATGTTCAAGTTCTTCATTCTTAAAGCACATGGGTGTTTTAAATTCTACTGGCAGCCGAGTGCTCATATGTGTCACGACAAGGTGGAATCAGGTGCTTGTCAATTTTGGGCAAATGGAGTTATTGATAAAATATTCCTAACGCCCTTTCATTTTTTTTGCTTTTGATGAAAAGAAGCTCCTCGAATAAAAGTCAGGATATTTGCAATTGAAGGAGGTGGGGGTCGTATGGTGTCAGTGGTAAAATTAGTGAGAAAATGACTGCCAAAGTTTGGTGACTTTCAAAATTTTGGAAACTGCAAAATTACATTTTTGTGTTCCTGTGCTCAACGTTTTTCTGTAAAATCCAGGCAGAAATGTGTTTTAAATGGACATTAATAGACTTGAGTCCCAAAAATAACTCAAAGTAAATTGCACAATGGGTGAAAAAATGTCGGTTACTTTCAAGTTCTTCATTTTGACGAGTAATTTTACCTCGACGCCAGACAACAAAAAAATCAGTGAGAATCTTCCTTTGACTGACTTTCATATTACTATAACAGAGCTCTCTGTCGTTCCCCAGTATTCTCCACTCAAAGCGTGGTTGTACAGAGCTGGCTTTGCACGATTCGCCAACACCCGTTACTCCCTGGACTCTATAGACGACAATTGTATCCTTGCTACTTGCTTGTAAGCTACCACCAAAATTAAAGACTAAAAAATAAGCAATGTTTTTGTTTGCAGGTGATTGACAGGTACCCTGAGGGGCTGCATCTTCCACTTCTTTTCAATGTTTAGTTTATTTTCTTCACTCTTCCTGGGAGAATATGATCATTATCCTGCTGATTCACCTTAGGCCTACCCAGTTTTCACCCATTTTAGTCTTATTAATTATAACGCAAACTTTGAACTGGACAGATGTTTTTAGAGACTGATTCTTGTCTCAGGGTTATTAATAGTATGATTAAGCCAACTAAATAGTGTGTGTAACGAATGTTGACCTTTACCAAATGTACAGATGTCCATCTCACAAATGTAGCCATACAGAAAACTGCCCCGGACTACGACCCTGAGAAAGGTTGCAAGTGGTCGACCCAACAGTTACGCCAATACCTCACTGCCAAACACGGACAGACTGCCGTGAGTTTAAAATATATGTTGAAATATTTTGTGTCTTTATCCAATTGTCAGTAGATGATGATTAATTACTGTTAAGACACAGATACTCTCACTGAAGTCTTCTAATCTCTTGTATTAGGTAAAGTTCAAATTGCAAAAGCCAGAGATTTTTCAATTGAACTCATGTATTGACACTCAAAAAAACTCCCGATATTATTCTCTTGGATTTCTACTGTTGGCCTATCTAAAGTAAAAAAAAAAAGGCCTTTGCTGACCCAAGAGATTTCGGAGAAAGGATTCAAGTAGTCAACTCTGGGATCTCGTGGCCTAAGAGGTTAAGGTGTTCGCCTCTCATTTCAAAGGTCCCAGGTTCAAATTCGGATAGTGATGGAAACATTTTCTTTATCTAAAATTGTCTTCTTTCACCTCCTTTCCTGCTCTCTTGCATTGTTCTGTCGCTTACTTTCGTCTCTAATTTCTTCCCAACCCCCTTACTTCCTTTGCCCCCCCTTCTATGGGCTCCTGACTCTTTCTGCAGCCTTTCAACTGCTACTTCTTGGCTCCTTCTTACTGCTGTCTTTCAACCACACCCCTGATCTTCTGGTAGAAAAGATCTACACCAAGCCTTCTCTGACAAGGGCGAAAAATCTCGGAGGTCCTGTGTGCTGATTGCGCACGTTAAAGATCCCTTGGTGGTCTAAGATCAATAAGAGTAGACTTCGGCCGCCACCCAGGCAAAATTCAAAATTTCCTACCAGCTGAAAATGTTTAACGTGTCCCACGCGCTCATATGACCTTATGCAGTTGCGAGCGTCGTAAAACACTTACCAAAAATATTTTTAAAAAGAAGTCAACCTATTTTGATTATGTAGTTATGATTTATGATATTTGTAGATCTAGAAGAAATTTGAAAAAGTACAAATGTGAAAGAGTCTAGGTAAAAATTTTCAGATATAAATACAGATGAAATTAATTAAGGTCCCATATTCCTATTAAAATTTGAAGGGTATATAAAATTCATATATGGATTATACAGTATTGCAGAACAATGATCATCAACAATTTTTTCAATGATAGCATAAACTCTTTGTTCTCTGATGTCTATTTTTTTTGATTTGTTGAATTAATTATTCTAGTATGGTGAGGCATGTGCGTGCGTTCTGTCCATGACCTGTGTGTGTCACTTAAGGTTAGCACAGTAGCCAGTCGCTCTTAATATGTAGTAAAAGAAATACCTGACTTTGCTTAAATCTTTGGGTTTTGTTTGATATAAATAAGAAATCCCCTTATATTTGGATTGGGTTGTAAGGAAATAACAATCATGAAGACCAAGTTAAGAGGGGTGGGGGGGGGGGGCAGCTGAAGGCTATCTCGCTTATTAGTTGATCAAATGTTGCCAAATTTCACACATATAACAAGCATAGTAAGGAGTCTTAAAATCCTCTTTCAAATTTTGAGAAAAAAAATTTGTTTCCGTAATATGGCGGCCATATTGGATTTTTGTGACATTTCTTACGTAATTAATACCGCACTTATTTTTCATGGAGATAAATTGGTTTTTTTTTGCATGTATCTTGGCAAACAATAGGTCTACAAATCTGCGTGATGAATTTTTCTTAAACGTACTAGAACATTTTTAATTAATTTTTTCCTGAGGTAGTATTCACGTTTGCATAAAAATCTGTGAAAATCCTCATTTCAAACACCATCAACAAAAAATGTTTTCCATATATAAAAATTCATCTCTCAAAGTTTTAGTATTACATCTTGTCTTCTTTCTGTTAGAATTTCATGAAGATTGGATGAAAAATGGTGGGGTTATTTTAAAAAGTATATAGAAAAACCATGTTCGAGAAAATGGGCGATAAAGACAAAAGATTAACTTTATGAGGAAATGGTGGTGACAAACATGTCCAGTATGGGAAGAAATAAGGCTTAAGGGGGTTCTCATCCAATGAAATAGTTGTAAGAGAAGCTGAAGAAGCTAAAAATACCTACTACTTAAAATCCATGGTTTTGAGCCAAATCAGGACTTTCGGGGTGTCACTCCCCCCCCCTTAATGAAGAATGGAGATAATCACGGAATGTTCTTCTTTTTTTTTTTTTTAAAGGAACTCTTGGTTTCTTTCTCTTTTCAGGTGAAAGCCTTGTTCCAGCAAATGACCAATATATTTGTTTTAAGTCTTCAGTCATGTCAAAGAGTGATAATCAATGACAAACATTGTTTTGAACTATATGGCTATGACATTCTTATTGATTCGAATCTGAAACCGTAAGTACTTGTTCAGTTTCTAAATGTTTATATTGTACCCTTTATTCATGTTTTCATAAAAGCTCTTGTGGCCGTGATAGGCCTGTAAATACCACTACATGGCTCTTTGCCAATTTAAATTATAACCCTAAAGGTGTTTGTTCTGTACAAATATTAACAATCAGTACATGTGAATATAAGCTTGCCCAATGCAGAAAAGGATGTGAATTGCTTGTTCGTGGCCTGTTCACTGTCAAGTTTGAAGGCCATTGATGATGATGATGATGATGATGATGATGATGATGATGATGTTGATGAGGATGCATGTGAATATGCTTTGAATTTAAAATGTTTTGTGCTTTTAGAAAGGAATGCAAATGTAGATCTGCAAAGTTATTGCTACTGATGGTATTTAAGTCAGGCTTTAAGATGCGGGCATTTTTAAACTCCAGCTGATGTACTCTGCATGGCTTTGTCTCATTTAAACCTCTTTGTCTCTTTACCATTATAAAATTCGTTAAGAATTTTTCACAATCTGTCTTGTCTTTCTGTTTCTTTTTTTCACAGTTGGCTCATTGAAATCAATGCATCACCATCCCTGACTGCCAGCAGTAAAGAAGATTATGAACTCAAGTTTGGACTTCTCAATGACGTGCTGAATGTACTGGACCTAGAGAACAAGTAAGTGTACTTTGAAAGGTCGTTTAATACAAGAATATTTTCTCTCTGAAAAAGCAAAAAAAATGCCCTTGCCTGTCTATGCACAATAATAATATCATAATATGTGAGGCATCATGGTGAAATCAGGCGCTCGTCAAAATAATGAAATAAATTAAATCTGCATTTTTAGGGCCTATGGTTAATTTTCTTCTAATTTTCTTGCTTAATACCTTTTATGTCCATTTAAAAACACATTTTTGTGTGGATTTTCTGAAAAACATTGATCAAAGGCGCAAAAAATGTACATTTTCAGTTTTCAAAGGACCCTCAGTTACCAAACTTAGGCGACCATTTGATCACTAATATTACCTCTGAAACCAGGTGACCCTGACCTCTTTCAATTGCAAATATTTCGACTTCTACTTCTATACAACATAGATGGATTTTTTTTTCTCCTATAGGAAACCAAATGAACAAGCAATCATGATACCAATAACCCTGTATACCCAAAATTTGATGAACGCTTGATTCCACCACATTGTGACACAAAATGCCTTATTATTGATGTCGCCACCAGTGCTGATAAAAACATTTTGTGTTGTCTTTCTAATAAAGTTTTTTTTTTTTACCATCTTTGCTCCTATTTATTTGTCAAAAAATACTTCACACATTAAAACTGTTATTTGGTGCACAATGATATAGAGTTATCGGTACCAGCATTTTTGAGGATATTTATTTAGTATTTCATACAGAGGAATGATCTTTCCCATATTATTGTCTACATCTCTTGGGACATTTAGTAAAGGACATTCCCTTATGACCCCATCCTTTTGTGACACATACTTGCAGTGATTTAGTATACAGTCTGTGATGCTTTATGAGGCTACTACAGCAATCATCAAACGGAAAACTGTTGATCCAGTGGGGGTAGAGTGCTGTAAAATATTGTAGGCTTTAATTTAAAACGAAAATTGTAAACTTGTTTTTTGATTGTGCAAAATGTGTGTATCTGTAGGTTGGACAGATTACTGTCTTAGACGTCACGTTCAGCTGTACTTTTGTGTCTGTTAATATAATCTGATGCCTGATTTTCAAGGGAGGAGAAGGACAGAGTTCACGGGGAGATGATGACCATCACGATGCTGATGGTTCTTGAACAACCTTTGCACACAACACTTCACATGTTCCAAAGCCAGTATTCAGCACACATTGATGTATGTTAGCATCAGCATTTTGTCTAAACCAGAAATTGGTCATACAAACTGATCCAGACATATTGCACAATCAAAATGCAACTTTACATTTCTTCATTTCGCTTCTGAGGATGCCCTTCAAGGCAAAATGAGGATTCATTTTAATTAATTAAAAAATTATTTAATTTGTCTCTACTAATTGAAAATTACTCAAGACTCACCCTCCCAAGTCTGCTTTTTCATACAATGATGGTGGTGGTGATTATGATGGTACCGGTGCTGAAGGTGACTCTGAAGCTCACCTTTTTTTTGTACCAGGCTTAGTGGGAAAGAGAAGCGCATCGGCCTGTTTGATCTGATGTGGGACAATGGCCCTGTTGTGGGTGCTGAGGGTAAACTGGAAGAAACAGTTGTTCCTTATACCTCTTCCACAGACTCTATGCTGGGTAAGTATGACGTTTGATTAAACAAATTGTCCGGGTGATGATGATATTTAGTCTGGACAGAATCTGTCTCTAAAGTGTGTGATACTGAGTACCCTTTCATCAAACTGCTACTGTAGAAGTGGCTCCCGCTGCAGTGGGCCCATCCCTACAGCAGGACCTTACCAAAATCCCCTTTTCTTTCTCAATTACCTGTGCTCGGGTTTAACAGGACCGGGAAAGGTCCGAACTTGAATACAGGAGGAGAGATTGAGCGAGCTCTAGCTGGGGGGAAGGGGGTTGGAGGGGCTGTAGGTGGGGTCCAAACAGGCAGTCAGCGGTGCGTCATTGTGATTGACCAGTCCAGTGATGAGTGAGGTGGGGCAGGTGGCAGAGAGAGATGGTGCAGAGAGACGCGTTACGTGTGCCACTTCAAAGGTGATGTGCCATAGCCGAGACGCTCTGTATGAGAGCGTACCCCTAGGGCTTGGCTAGGCCAAAAAGTAAAAGAGGAGAGTGTGTTGTGTGATTCCTGATTCATTGAATTGCGATTGCTGATGCTCAGGCATACGTACGCATCCATTTCACCAGTTCTACAGTATGCCTACTGATACGATAGACAGCACAAGCAACAAGGTAATCAACGAAGTTGACAAGAAAAGGAAGACTAATCTAAAGTGCTACTTTTATTGATATGGAAGGGAGGTAAACATGTGAATTTTTATAAACTTTCCCGTAATTTCCCCTTTGCATTGCTGTAGCGGGAACTTGCCAGTGGAGGGATTTTTCTTCTGGAACCAAAAGTACCGCTATAGCTGTGTTCTACTGTACTGATGTAGACGTGTTTGACCCGTTTTGGAATGAATTTAACGGGCTTCTTTCAGTATTATGCATTTTCTTTATCACATGTCCTAGGCAAGAGAATTACTGGGAGAAAGAGAAGCGGAATAGTAATGATGATGATGATGATAACAAGCAGGATGATGATTAAGTTGATAACAAGCATGATGATGATGTGATGATGATGATGAGAAGCAGAATATTAATGATGATTAAGATAATAACAAGCAGGATGATGATGATAAAAATGAAGATGATACTAAACCCTTGTGAAACCTTCCAGGTTAGATTTGAGGGTCATTTATTTCTTCAAAAATTCGTCAGTATATTTCTGCTCAGTCAGTATACAAGGATAATGCAGAAGAGATGGAAGAGGATGAAGAACAGTGAGCTGGTTTCTAAACGCAGAACAAAGATTCAGCTTTGTAGTGATGAAAGTTTTTTTCTTTTGTTTTGTGCAGGTTGTGTCAATGACAGAATGGATAACCTTCGACATACGTATGAAACTGCAAATGCCTTGAAAAAAGTGACCTAAAGTCTAAAGTGTTCGCCCTCTGCCATATAATATGCCTTAGAATAAAAATAATTCTCCACATCTCACATTATCATAATTTATAACCTACTGATGTTCATTATTTTTATTTAAGTTGGCAAGTTTTCATTGCAGCTTTCTGTGTGACTGAGCTGTAGTTGTTGAATACGTGTAGTAGTCCGAATAGTTCGTAATGTGATGCATATTATTTTAAATGAAACCCTTTTGAAGTGCTTTCACCAAGAAAACACTTATACGCATGTGTGCGCGCTTATGTACGCACACACACACACACACACATACCCACACACACACACTCACTCATTACATGCAAACACACACACTTTCATTACACACAAACGCACGCACACTCATTACACATAAACACACACTCATTTCTGTTTTGTAATTATGTTTGATACTGTTACAGGGTATTTTTTAAATTAAATATGGAAGCACACAAACATAGCTCTGGCATTTCATATCTTTCTGCCAATACAGCTGACCACTTCCTTTATTTTTTTAAATTGTAAATGTTAAAAATCTTCATCAATAGCAGGTTTCTTTTGTTTTAGTTTTCTCTTGCATTTAGATTTTCATTTGTCTTTTGTAAACCTTAAGCTGTTGTGAACTTCTTTCATATTTTGTTCAGAAATGTAAGGCTCACAGACAAGTTTTTAAAAAGTTGTTTAAACATTGCTTTATTTATGATAGTTAGGTCTGGACAATCTGCCCTGCTTCCTTGCATTTACTTTTTGTTTAGTTTTCGATTGAACTCTTAAAAATGGGATTAAAAATCAAATTCATAGTAGCACATTGTTAGCAATATCAATAGAAAATGGATAGAGATGATGGCAGTGAAGATATATTTGAAACGAATGTCTAAGGTATTAGAATGTGAAAATAATATGTTCATATAGTACATACTACCTGCTGTCCCTGTCACTAGCAATTCTTGTTAATCCATGATCCATGCATCTTATTGTCAGTCCAATATGTCATTGCGGGTGGTTGGAGGGCGCTACTGGTAGATCCTACTTCTTTTCTTTACCTCTGTTGTTCCTGTCTATTTTACTCTTTCCCAGCACTATATGACCATCATTGTGTCAATTTGCTCCTCTATACTCAAACGAACAAACAAATATGTCCTCTAATAACTTAGTTTTGACACTCTACTTTGAGATATCAGGTTTTCCATAGAGTCGAGACAATTTTTGCTAGCTACATAGTAGGTTTTGCTTAGACTGCAGGGGATGTCTTTTTATTTTTAATGGGCATACTGAAAGTCTTTACAATCATTAGTAGGCCTACTTTGTCTAGTTTTATTTAGTTCCACACCATTTTTGGGACGCTTCATAATATGGGGGGAATTCACATGCTCCTTTCAGCATACTATATCTATTCAAAAGGCATGACCACAGATTTATCCTATGCCTCATGATGCTTGAGAAAAGAAGAAAATTATTTGTTTCTTTGCAACACTCTACTTTTGTCTGAGTTAAGAGTTACATTTATGAACTTTTTGTTGACACTTGTTCAGACCGATTGGACCAAAATTTCCCAAGTGATCATCTCAAAAAGGCTGTTTTTGTGAACTTTACAATGATGTAGTACCTTTACTGCAGCCTTTCCAAATAGATTTATCGGTCTAAGACAGACAAGCTGTCTTTTCAATCGATATCTACTGCAGTGCAGGCAGACCTGGTTTGAAACATTTTTTTAAACGCTAGTTGTTTGAAAAGTTTTCATTACTCAAAACTATCTTTGCTTGATCCCTTTTTAAGATGGACGTGAAATCTAAGGACATGTCTCTTAAATAATCTTTGTGTTCAAAGGTTGTTAAACCCATGCCATATTACATATTGTTGACTGAGAGCTAGAGGTTACTATATATCCAAATATTTCTTATTTCAGTTCAAGACGAATGAATCTTTATGGCAAGTTGTAAACTGGAAAAGTATGAATATAGGTTGATAGCAGGGATGTTAGCAAAACTTTGGTGCAGATGATTTTATATACAGGCATGATGGAATTGGAATGCCTGTCTTGATATTTTTGGGCATTTTGGTAAAAAATGGACACTATAGCCACTTTGGCTCACAGCCAACATATGTCTTTGACCAATCCCCATTCCTTTTGCCTATTCATATTCTGTGGTACAATGCATACTGACCCGTAGATAACAGACTCTGGCTGAATGTGATGGGAACCAACACTGTCATGTTTACATTTGAAACATATGTATGGCTGAGCTTGTGTAAATTAGAGCATAGACAAGATAGAATTTGACTAGTTCAGCAACTTATTTCATGCTTGCATAGTTCATTTCTTCATTGCTGCCTATGCAATATGTACAGACCTTATGAACATGTGTTCTTTGTAATTACGCAATTATGCATTAAAATGACACTGTTTCTTTGAAAAACAGAGGTTTCCTTTTGATTGGAGAATCCAAACTTGTCCTCACATGTTTGTCTGTGTCTTCTTGCCTGTGAAATTTAATAGTTTTATTTGTATGTCATGTAGGAATCAGCAAACAGACCTGCATTTTTCTATTCTTTCTCTCTTTCTATTATTCCTTTTACTTTGCTTTTCGAAACACTTTATGGTGCTTATGGCGTTTAGTCAGTGCAATTCTATTCAACATAATTATTTCACTGCTTAATGCAAGACCTTCCTGAGGTATGAAATGCTTTTATGTTTTAAGTTTTTAAAGTTTCAGCAGAGTTTTTACAGTGCTCGCAACTGCATAAGGCATAGCTGCCCACCCCTTTCGGTGGCTATCAGGGACAGCCTAGCTCAAAATCAGGGACATTGACTAATTATCAGGGACACCTTGTATTTGTCAAGAAAAACTTGCTGCCTTTTCGGTTTCTTTGCTTTACTTGGTCCAGAGTCTGACTTAGAACTCATCGCCGAACGTTTTGACGCCATCTTTTCAAACGAATGAAGAAGCCTAGCGCCGCGCATGTGTATCAGCTGACTTTGTCAAAATTGCGCACCTGCCAACTCTCCCAAATTTTTCGGGAATCTCCCGAATTTTCGTCATTTTCCCGAGCAACAGAAAGCTAATTTTTCTGTTTTAGAAGTATGCTTGCCAAGTTTTTATTTTCCGGGACCGTCAGTCAAAATCCGTATTTCCTCTTACGTGTCATTCAGGTCCCGAGTCGGATCCCCATTCACGCAGGTCAAGTGTGTGTGCGTCAGTGTGCTTGAGTTTGTGTGCGTTTGTGGCCTTCTTCTAGAACCGCCTGCGTTGGTTCGTAATCGAGGCATACGTCTCATTCAAAACATGCCAAGTTGGTAGCTCTAGATGTTCGTCCAATGAAATTATAGAAGAAATTGACCCACTTAGACATGAGGAGCTCGAAAGGATATTCAGGAAACAAGACTTCCATTTTTCTATACAAAATATTTCAAATGAGCTTGATTTTGTATGAAATGATACTACCTAATGAAAAATAAGCTTGTTTGATAGTTTTGAATACCATTGTGCAGGTACAAAGAACAATTTGAGTGTAAAACATTCGCAAAACTGACCTAAATTATCCCCTTTCGAACCTCAGGTCATTCATAACAACAAGAGCGTCCAGAAAGGTTATTCGAATGGGCGTAACTACTCGTAATGTCTTATCAGCTTGTGAGAGGGGGTTATTCATGTGTTTGTAACACTTTATAAATAGAAAGCTATGAAGGATAGAGCGTTATTTTCATCATCGGTTAACACACTCCCGCGGTATTCATGGCGAAAACACACGTTTCCCGGCGCGCGCGCTGTACACCAACACTACACACTGAGTGACCCCGGCGGCCTGCCCGGCACGTCCGACGTAATCGGTTGCTGATAAGATACGCATCTGGGCACAGACGCAGGATAAGGGTTAAGAACTAGTGACTTTTCTTACGAAAATAAAAAATTTACAACCACATTAACAAGAAGAATAAACAAAAGCAAGCATAGTTTCTTTTTACTAAAAAGTAACTTTATCCAACATTTTAATACATAAGAAGGTACAGATTTAGACATTAACTTTACATGAATGAACAGAATAACTTGTGAGTAAATATAACAAAGTCCCTTAAATACATTTGCAAGGAACACATCAATGTATCAATCAAAGTCTGTGGGTTGTCTAAAGATGACAGTAAATACTTACATAAAACCTATCAGATCTGGACGGATGTTTTCAAGAATGAAAAGTGAATATATATGGGAGAATTATTTTTTCCTGCTTTTGTTTAGGCAGCACTAAAAAATGAGGCAACCTAATGAAAAAAGAGAAAAAAAATGAGAAGATATGAAATTGTTATCACATAAAAAGCTCCAGCAGGGTGTAGCATGAACTACTCCTTTCTTCCCCATTTATTCTCTACTTTATAATATCTTCCTGGTACTTGTCAAGGTCATATTAAAATATTAGAGATTGATGGTTTATTTGAGATGGTGACTCTAAACTTTTAAATAGTCATTGAAGGTATATTATACATGTACAACATAGTTTCAACTCTTGTTGGAGACAAAAGAGGCAAACGAAAACTTTTCTTCACACTACTTTGTACCACCTCTCTGTATGGTGAGTGAACTCAGATTATAGAGAGGGGATTTCATACTTGTAGTTTTAAAAAGAAGATGCTCTACAACTGATGTATTTCAGACATTGTGTTTTCCTTTCTCCAACTAATATCTATCGTAGACAGACTGGGTTCTTAGCTCTTACACATAAAATACTTGAGTTCACTTCGCCCCAGAGAAAGTCTGATATGGATTATTTCCATCTTACTGCTGAGATGCCTTTCCCAACCCAGCCTAGGTTTGCCAAGACTGAAAGCAGCCCAGTTAAATTTCTAAACAATCTAAATTGAGTCAAAAAAGGAGCAAAACATTAACAATTTATTATCTTAATACCAAAGACAATCTCTTTGACACTGGTCCTACCATCAATATCAAAACAAAGAATCATGTTCAACTTAACCCCACTCCCCCCCCAAAAAAATACAAACAAAAAAAAACTTTAGTAGTTCATAGGTTATCTTGGCGGATGGCGATGTGTAAAACTCGGGTTAAAATCTCCAGCAGAGCATTTGTGAACATGATTTATTTTTAGTGGTCTTGAAGACTTTTGAACAACTCTGTCCTATCAGAGAAGTGTATTCAGTTAGAAAATCCAGCCTTTTAAATAGCATTACTGCGTTGCAAGGGGAATAAATAAACACAAATTTGATCAAAGTTAATGCAAAAAAAGTGAACATGAATTTAACAAATCAACAGGAGACACAGCTGAATGTGAAATGGACAAGATCAGCATATGTGCTATAAACCTGTCAATGTGCAGAGTACTTTTTGGTCAAGTTCAGACACTCTAAAACATTCAAAGGATAATTCTCACCTTATTAATTGTCAAAGAAAGGAAGTATCATCAAATAAGCAAGTGTTTTAGAAACAATCTCAATGTACCCCTCACAAAGTGGAATACTTTTTTGTTTTAATCATTAAAACGTTACAAAATTCGCCAAATACTCGTTACACCATATTTCTTTGCTAATTTTAAAAAATGCTTTTAAACTTCTCATTGCCAGAGAGAGGCTAATAAAATCTCAAATCACACAGCAGTTTCAAGTATCCCACTCGAATAGCTCCAAAATAGATGCTTTACCACTATTTCACAGTACAAAATTTCTTACTTTCAAAAAGTTTCAAGCTTTAATACTACAATACATTTTGTCCAGACATCCAAATTTTCAAATTAAAAAAAATTCGCTTGCAAATCACCCTGTTTCAACAGCCCCACAAATTATATGTTTTACATTAGCACAGGACTTGTACTTCAGGGTGCAGTAAGTGTTAGCTAAAGCATTCCTACTTTAAATAAGACATCATATAGGTACAGTAGAAATCTTGAGGTCACAAATTGAAATAAATATGGCTCGACTATAGGGCAACCCGCATTACTGTACAAGATTTATGTATAGCCTTAAACTTTCAGGAACTCTATACGGGAGATTGAAAGTGAGAACTTAAGAAGGCAAAGAAAAAATTAGAAAAGTTGAACATGAGACCTTGTGTTAGCACGTAATTTAAAATTATCCCTTTTCTACAGATAGCGCAGGTATTACTGAGCATTAATCATGGTTTGGTAATGTTCATCATGTCTGCAAGTATAATCTTCCTGTACTTTTTCTCCAGTTCTTTCATATAATCCATCTGATCCAGGATGTGGAAGTTGCAGATAGCTTCCTCCTGAGAATAAAAATGTGTTAACAATAAAACTTTTTCACAATATTTCTACACTCTAAAAATTCTACATTGTATTATCAAGAAAATGAGCAGCATGAAATTTAAAAGTGCACATGGTGCTGTGACAAAATAAGGTCCAAGTCCTCAGTACAAACCACAAAAACAGAAGTTGAAAAATAAAATAGATTTTAAAAAAAAGCTTCCAGAGGGACAGTATCTGTTGTTCTCTCTCTCTCTCTCTCTCTCTCTCTCTCTCTCTCTCTCTCTCTCTCTCTCTCTCTCTCTCTCTCTCTCTCTCCTTCTCTCTCAAAGGAAGAGCAGAAGAAGGTAAAAAGAAGGCAGAGGAGGAGAAAATGATAAAGAAAAAAGGAAGAAATTGGATGGTTATCTTAGAAGATAAGGAAGAGGAGAAGAAAAAGCAGCTAAACAGCTTACCTTGAGGAATATTATTAGATCCTGAGTCTGCATATGAGAGAAAATGTCCCTCTGTAAGTGTTTGAGGATAGCCACGCACAAATACACCTGATAGTCCACTCCCAGTACCACACAGATGACAATGTAGTGGACAATGTCCAGCCAGTCCAAATAGTTCCAGAAACATTGGGTCAGCCAGTGCATGCAGATCTAAGTAAGGAGAAGAACATGTGGCTTAAAGTTTTGACACAAAACTGCAAACTACAATAACCATGTATGATCTACAAAATGATGACATTACACTATAATTACCATCAATCTTCTACAATTTTTCTCCAGACTACAACTTTCCACTAGGCTACAATAGCCATCCATATTCTACAACATGTCATTAGACTACAATAACCATCCATCTTCCACAATCTTTTTTAGTAGGAGTTTTACAGCACTTGCAACACAATAAGGTCATTAACTCTTTATCTCTGGCAAGCAGCTCTCAGTGGCTTGCGGTCAGAACCACTGTGCAAGTGAGCGGCTGGCAGCAGCTCAGACATATTCCTTCACGACAACTTTGACATCAAATTACTTTTTGGCAATTGCCGAAAACAGGTCTCTTTCATTTGGATTTCATTCATTAGGTGAAGAACTATCAAACTGACATTAGTGACATCGTAGTTTTCTGCATGGAAAATTTCAAAATTCTGCGCAGAATTTTACCCCCAAAATGACAAAATTCTGCAAAAATTCTGCAAGGATCGCGACCATCATGTCTAAACTTCTTGTTCTATACTGTTAAAAAATAAAAGTACCAATTAATTACCAATTAATCGTAAGCTGAGAAAAAGCACTACAGACACAGTAAATAACCCCTGCCCCCCCCCAGCAATTAGCAACATACAATCTGTATTTTTGTTTAGAAACACTAGCCCATAATAAAAAATACTAGCAAAAAGTGTGACCCAAAGAAATGAGACACCATTATATAGTCCTACTGGTAATTTCAAAATCAGGTGAGCTGGTAGTTTGAGCTATGTCATTGTCATTGATTGTCAGGAGGCGTTGAAGACAAAATGTTATTTGGGAAAAAAGAAGTCCTAAGAAGATGGGCAAAACAGTAGGAAAATTATTTAAAGATAAAAGACCACCCCTACCACAACCAAGCAACAACAATGGTCCCAACATTCTTAAGTCAGAGTAGAGCTCGCAATTAGAATTAGAAACCCCCAGAAGGAAAAGCCCCTGGTGAAAATGGCATAAACACAGAAATGCCCATCCACCGTCGATATAAGGGTGTGGTCAAGTACCACATTACATACGTACTAACAGAACAGTTTTCCGCCAGACACGAGTGCTTTTGGTAAACTGAAGCTGACATTCAGTGGCATTTGTTTTCAATACATTCTCTCCTTTAAAAGATTTATACATTTTTGCAGAAAGACAAATCCCATCTTGCCTGTACTCCTATACAACAGCACATGCGCAATAGAATCTAGATAGGGCAGTGCTACCGACTGAAGTGTTTTTATGCCATTCCCAAAGGGGGGAATATTAACATGTTCTTATGCACAGTAGAATTGTAAAAGGGCAGATTTATCAATGTCATGCTCATTCTGTGCCAGAATAACATAGGGAATAGGGGGAACTGCTGCTTTTTTTCCCCTCGTCCTTACTTTCGTCATTTTTCCTCTTCTTCTTTTGTATATTTGTCACTCTCTTGTGAACTGCTATTTCCGGGGTGCCTAGATAGTCGAAGCAGACTTTATATTGTACTGTTGAGGCTATAGAGAGGTGAGCAGAGTAAGCCTGATTCCCCATTTAGACCTCTCTGTTGACATCCACCTCGTGGCACCCATATGACCTATGCAGTTGTGAGCGCCGTAAAACTATACTAAAACAAACAATCTAGATCTAAATAAATTTTTTTTCCAAAAAAGAAAAAAAAAACGCTCTAATTTCTGACTTCCCGTGAGAGGGAGATCATTGTAATATTGTCTGCTCGCTTCAGTTTAATTTCTTTTTTTTCGCAATTCTATGTCTAAAAGCATAATAATGCTGCAAAATTCTGCAAAAACTCAAAATTCCAAGGCCGCGCTGCGAGTGATATTCTGCGGCGCGGTTGATCCATTTTTCTGGGGCGTACCACAGTTGCAGCCCCTGCCAAATACTACGATGTCAGATCAAAATTGGTTCACTTGTTTTGAATCAAAGACCAATTTAGCGACATTTTCTTTCTTTTTAGATTTAGTATCAAAAAAGGGCCCCAACATAGTGGGTTTACCCCCCCTTGGAGATAAAGAGTCACAGTGCCAGAGATTAAAGGTGTTACAAGGGAGTAACAAACAGAAAAAAAGGACGATAGATGTTGTTTTTTGTTTCACTTCAAGAAAAATAAATCTTTAAGGCAAGGTGCAAACTGGAAAAAGTACAAACATAGACACTTTGAAAGTACCAATTGTAGAGAAACTTTGGAGCATATTTGTTCGATATATACAGGCTTGATGGAATTAGAAAGATGCTGAATGCCTGCCTTCATTTTTTTGCATTTTGCTTGGGTTTTTTTCAATGGACATATGATAGCAACTTAATTAGCTCACAGACAACAATGTCTTTACAAATACCTTTATTCCTTTTACAACATCAACACCAGTAACAATACCAGCGACAAACACAAATAGAATATATCATCATGGAGAAGATTTAAAGTTCACCTGTGATGGGGTGTAGCCTGACATCTTGAAGGCAGATGCAATAAGAGGCAGCTCTGTCTGCAGAAGCAGCTCAATGTTGTGAGCAGTGCTGGAGAACATTGGTGAGATCCCACTTGACAACAGTCCACTAGGAATAGTCTGTGGCGAAACAGCAACAGGCTTATCTAAAAGTGCTGAAATTACCATGTTATTAGACAGTCTTTTTTTTATTGAAGATTAGTACGTAGCTACACAACACAAAGAGTACGTAATTCCAATTAGAAATATAACCCAAAAGTCAAAAAGGTAATGGGGACCATTATCAAATATTTTACAGTGTCTTCAAGTTTTTGGTAACAGTATCATGAGGTAACTAAAGACAAAGATTAATTCCAACATCCACTTTTTCATTCATGGTTACTTCAATTGGACAGGACTCGCTCTTTCCTGAGATTTGACTCCACCAAAAATTGAATACTTTCTTCAAATAGACCAGAGCAGAAACCCAAAACTTTGTGCTCACACACAATACTTTATTTCAAATTGAACTAGTGAATGAGAAACAAGATAAGTCAAAGGGAAGAAGTAAAATTATGATTTTAGAGGTCTCACTCTATTTTAATAGTGAGGCAAACTTTTATATTGTGATAAAAGCCAAATTTCAAATCTAGTAGAAGAGCTTGAGACTAAAACAGAAGAAAATTTTTAATAAAGTCCACAAAAAACAAACAACAAACAACTGCTATCAATTGAAACAACCTGTCCTTAGAAAAAAGCACGGTCGTCAGTGTAGAAAGCAGGAGATCTTCATTACTAAATCAACACTTCTATAACATATATTCACCAGGAACAAGCCAAGAGCTAATGAATAAAAGTTTGAGAAGAGTAAAGCACTGGGATATATTTACCGAAGCATGGAGTCTTGCCATCCACATATAGCCAGAACATCCCAGGGCTGAGAACTTGTGGAGAAAGTTCCATGTTCTTTCACCGTTGCCATTGAAAATGAGGAAAATTGTGGCCACAAACCAGTCAAAGCCAGGATAAGTTCCCTCCAAGTATTCTTTAAATTGTTAAGGGGATACAAATGCAGAAAAATGATTCCTCATTCCCCTTTAAAAATTATGTTTAACAGCAATGATTCTACAGGAATAGACAAGAGAAAATATAAGAATACCACATTTTTCTTTAGTTCACAGTTTGTTTATCGGAAATGAAATTTGTTTTAAAAACATTTGCAAATTTTAGGAGGTTCAGTCTAGTTTCAAAGAGAATTGACTTCTTCTATGGTCAAATAGAACATCTAGCAAGATATGTGACAAACAAAAACGTAAAATAATTTTTTGACCAAAACCATATTTTATATTAAAAATTTCTTTTGACAGGCCTTCAAGAACAAATACTCATCTTAATCACCATGACATTCATCATCAGCATTGTCATGATTGGTACATGCATAAAATGAACGATTAAAAAATATATCATTTATACTTTGACTTACTGTTTGTATTTTATTCCTCCCATATGGTTAAAGTAACACTTTTTAATTGAGATTTTTATTCTGTATATCTAGATCAGACTGTTCAATTTAAGTAATAATAAACTGCCCTTGCAATACTGCCAAAGTGACATTTCATTGAGCTAAGAATATCCCATAGTGGAACCACCTGCAAATTTCTATTCACAAGCTTAAAACATATTTACTTGATTGAAACACATACATTTATTTTACTGGAAGTATATAATTGTGATTGACCAAAGTATGAGACATAGCAATAAAAACAATAAGAAGTTCCCTTCTTTCATATCAACAGCCCGCAAATGAATGTAACAAAACAATAATAAAAAATAAATGCTAAACCCGCCATCCTACTATGACATTACAGCAACAGAATTATGAATATTGAAAGGATACGCAAAGAAGTCTTCAGTGAGCGCATCTGCTGTTTCAGGAAACAGCCTGACAGCTTCAGCAACTGAGTGAGGTTCTCCGTGGATTCTGATGACGTGTTGATAACTTTCAGATGAATACCATATCTGCAAAATGCAAGAGTAAGATTTTATACTCAAGCAATGCTAAGACATTGAGGAAGTACTTATCACTATTTAATGCACTAAAAACCATTATTATGAAGAAAGATCATGCTTGGTTTTATACCTATATATTCAGTTGTCACAAGATGGTACATTCTCATTCAGAAAATAAATATTCAGTTCTACGTTTACAAAACGAATACTCATGAGATAACGTTTTGAAACACAGTTTGACATTTGTAGCTCACCTCACAGCTGTCTTGATGCCCAGCAGTTGGAGGGGTGAAAGCTTGAAGTTCTTTATGGTGCTGTCTGTACCTGTTCACAAAGAGATGTAATGAAATCTCAAAAGAGCACTGGGAAAATGCTGATAGTTTTCAGTAAAAATAAGCACATCGACATGATAAAGATTATTTTGGTAAAAAGCAAATCTTTAAGTAAAATAACCAAGTATACAAACAAATTCCAAAGATTGAAAAGAATAAGACAGACAACAACAAAAAGAAGTCTTCTCTTACCTGAGAAATCAAACAAATGGAAAATGGCCTCCTCTTGCATTTGGTTCATGTGAGAAACACTCATTTCCAGCAGTTGCTGGAGCACTAGATGGACAGAAGAACCACGCAATAAATTAGTTTGAGAACAAGAAGAAAAGAGAAGAAAAGATGACTTTTGTTTCCTCTCAGTCTGAAGATCTGTTTTATCAAGGGCACATATCTTTCCTAGGGTATTCACAGACCAACATTCCATTTATTTGTTTGAAAAATTTTCATACATATTCACAAGACAATTGCTTTTAATCTCATTCAGTAGGGCCTACTTGTCTGTCTTAGGAAAAGATGTACTGCAGTCATGGTGAAAGGAAATTAAAAGCACTTAAAAAGACTGAGACAAATTTAAACATAACAAAAAAAGACAATCTTTATGAAGGCATTAATATTCAAAATAGTACTCACTAAATCAAACACTACAATTCTAATTGGGTCTATTCAAAACCATGAAAGTTTACAAGTGAACTCCTCATTAGTTTTACTTACAGTTCCCTTTGGCGTGATCAGGCTTGGATTCCAGCATCTTGTGCAGCAGGTTTCTGCACTTATCCATCCAAACTTTTGCCTTTTTCTCTGGACGACTTGCATTGAGGAATTTGCTCAGTTCATTCTCTGTGATGCATAAGTTAAACAAAGACAAATTTCAGCTGGCCAGGGGTGAAGTTTTGTGAAGCAAAACACTGAAAATACATTCGTTTGCAAATAACAAAAGAACCAAAAAAGATCAGCTCATCCTTCATGCTTGGCTAGGTATGCCATCTCCTCCCTCCCAACCAATAAATGAAAAGTGTAAGTTAGAAAATAATTTTTATAATGTATTCCAAGTTAAACCAAGATGACATAAAATATTTGCATAAGTTCATAAAATGACAAGCAGTGTATTATGCAGGGTTTAACATTATGCCCAGAAAAACAGAAACAGACAGAAAATGGCAAAAATATTAAGAATTTTTCACAAGTTTATGAAACATCGGAGAGAACACTAAAATCAAAAGCTTTTTTGTTTCCAAATAGTACATAATTTTTCTTTTATCTAAAAGAAACAGCAATAGATTAGAATCACCATGGCTAGCTGTGAGAAAAGCAAATGCTTTATTGATTTTCTTTGAAATAGAACAGAAGCACAAGCAGTAGGTTCAACCAAAGCGTAACTAAAATTCATAATATATCTTGATTCTTTCCTTAAATGGTTTATTTTGAACAAGAGTTCGCTTTACTTTCCGATAGCATTATAACAACACCTACCGCAGTCTACTTTTTAGGAACTTTTGTACCATTCTCAGGCAAAATATTTACACAAATTTTACACAATGCAAAACTGGCCATGGTTCCTTGAAGTATAAGAACCAGTACCAAAAAGAACCCAAATATCTTCTTTGTTCAAAACCTATATTAAATCTTTTAATCAAATTTGCAAGTTCAGAGACTTAATTCTCTCTTATTTCTCCATATGGTCAATTTGACTTATTAACGGTAGTGATTAAGAATGTAGACTAACAGATGTCGAATGCCTAAGAAAACGAGGCATTCACAATAGCTGCAAACGGCACAAAGGCAAGGATTACAGTGCAATGATTTATGACATGATGTGCTTGTTAGACGTAAAAGTACACCCACAAGATTTTTCAATGCTTACTTCTGTAGTTTTTTAATGAAACTCATAGGTACCATTAAAAATCAGCGAGACCGCATGATATATTCATGACATTGCTTCATGTAATTTCTAGATTTTCCTGGGAATTTACAACTCTAAAGACCTGAAGTTTTGTCTTTTCAATAGCAGTTATTTTGTCATTAAAAATTCATAACTACAGAACAGAGTAACAAATTAGAAATCTACAATACTTATATGAGCTTTTATCTAGCTACAGGAAAAGTGGTGTATTAAGGTTTTCAAGTGCGCAAGAAAGCATATCTTATAATACTATTTAGGCCATCTTACTATGGTTATCTTATTAAAACGCTGCATTAAATGTTCTTCAATGTTTTTGTATAAATATCCTCTTTCTCAGACTAGTAGTGTCTCATTTTCAAACATACTTTCCAAGGTCATTAAAAGAAAAGCATCATTCGTAGTGATTCACAGAAAAGTCTCAGTAAATTGCTTCCAGCAAAGCAAAACTGACATTGCTACTAAAAGAGCCACCATGAAGTAAATTTTAAAAATGAATTTATCTGCAATGATATTTAATAATCTACTCCAAAAGAGCCACCATGCATGAAATACATTTTTTAAATGAATTTATCTACAATGATCTTTATTAATCCACTCCAAGCTGTCTGCAAATTCATCTGATGTAAATGAAGGGATGAAGTCAGGATTGAGCAAACATTCAATCAACTAAAACAAATACAATCCAAATGTCACTATCAATATTAACAATTGTGTCACTCATCAACTCGTTATCAGTTCAAAAATACACAACATGTGTAGGCACAAATTTATAACCTCGCCTCTCCTCTGCTGATTCTACAAAAGCTGAAATAGCAAAACAACATGACATGATGAAAGAGATCTCTTCTTTCGTCAGTGAACAAATGTTACACAGAACAATATCTGTATACGGCCAGACAAACATCCAGCAATGTGAAATGGTATCAAACATGAGTAAAATGAAAAAAATAAAATCTGAAAGGCAAAGGAATGAATGGGATAAGCTATAAGTCTAAAAGCCCTGAGATAAAGCACTTCAAATGAAAACAAAACAAAACAACTAAAGACCCTCCCTCCTCCCCAGAATTTACTTCGAAAACAATCCTAGAAACACAAATAAAACAAGTAGGCTTATTTAAATTACCAACAACAGAAAGAGGTCAGTTCCAGACCATTCTTAAAAAAGAATTAACCAGTAATAATAATGCTTTTGTTAAAGTTAAATATCCAACTGGCTACAGAATAATACATTTACATTTCGAAAACAAAGACAGAGTATGTATTTCATCCATTTCCAACACTGCGCCGGGAGGACCAGAAGATTTCTAATTCCATTTCCTTTGTAACCAAAGGCAGCAAAAATTCCATATCTTTGGAAGTCACTGACCATATATAAACTATAATGGCAGCTACTGAAATGCAATTATTTGATTCTTTATCTAAATAAATGAAATCCTCCCTCTGCAATAATTGTGTCACTATGCGATGGAGTCAGGCCCTCCTCAATTTTTGGGCATGTAGAGTTATTGGTAACATCTTAAAGCTTGCTCATTGGTCCTGCTAGAGCTGAAAAAATACTCATCTACCTTGAATAAAAGCCCAATATATTTGCAATTGAAGGAGGTGTAGGTTCCCTGGTTTCAGAGGTAAAATTAGTCAGAAAATTGTCCGCCAAACTTTGGTTACTTCCATAGCTTGAGTCTTTGAAGACTGAAAATTCTTTTCTTTTCTTTTTTGGTCTTTAATCAACCTTTTTTTCAGTAAAAAGCACACTGAACTGTGATTTTAAATGGGATAAATAGTGTCGAGCAAAACAACAAAAATTCAATAAAAATAGCCAAACCGGCAGAAAAATGCCGATTTCTCCGATTTCATTATTTTGACAAGCGCCTGATTTCACCAAGATGCCTCAGAATTTGATTTTCATCTGCAATCAGTTGATGCTTTATTTGAAATAATGTGCTATTCCTCTGCACTAACTGAATTATATCCCAGCACTAATTTTGTTTTCCTGTTGAAGTGTGTAAAATGCACAAGTAAAAAATTTCACCCACATTGGTTTGCAGTGTCTTTGCAGTGACAAATTACATGGAAAATAAAAATAAATACTTTAAAGTAAGAGCCGATTCATAAAAACTTTTCAGCATCACAGGAGAATGAACGATTGTATTCAACTTACTCTTAAATTAAGACGAGACTAAAATAAAGAGATGCGAATCAAAAAGAGCATTGAGTTTATAAGATGAAGACAAAAGTATCATATAAAATACTGTTATTTCAAGGTCTCTGGCTGAGTAAACACACAGATATAGGCAATGCTGAATAGAGAGTACATGAAGAACAAACAGTAAGACACTGTAATGGCACTAACTAAGAGATAACAATTCACACACCTGGGTATATATCAAATCATTACTTAACTCATTCCCTACAACAAGCCGGCTGATCGGCTCAGCATCTTCCTCTTCACAACAACAAGCTGTACATGCAGCTTGACTGAGCGCCTCTATAGGCCTAACTATTCTCAAGCTATTCCAGTCCAGACTTTCAGAAACAATATTCATGTTTTGATCAAACTATTCACTTTTATTCAAATTCTAGTTTTAATTTCTTTACTTTTAATATAGATGTTATACTTTGCAAAACCCATTCGTAAATCGGAGAAAAAAAACTGCAAACATGAACTAAATAGATACTTTCCAGCGGAAGAAATTATATCTAACAGGGTTGAAAGTAAGGTAGCGAAGGAGTTGATAAAAACAATAGAACATTTTTAGGCAGTGAAATTTATTCCGATAAAAAGATAAAAAGTGTGTTTATATCTTTGTTTATGATTCATTAGCAAAATGAAATTATACTGTTTGGCCCATAAAAAAGATTTTGCAAAATTAGTTTGAAAATGCAGTTCCATGATGAAAGAATACAGAAATGAATGCATAGTCACCTTGCTTCATGGCAGATCGACCTGCAACATTTGGCTGGTATTCTCTGGGAATTGGGTAGGATGAAAACAGGATAGGCAATTTCAGATTGCCAGATTTGTCCTGCAGACAAAATAAAGAAACCTTTGTACAAAACAACTGCAAAACACTTTTGGGGTGTTGGTCGTTAGGTAATCAAACCACAGTAACATTGTACTGAGCAAAGAGTATATCATTTCTTCAAAAGTGTGTTACATTTTTAAATACATGATAAGCTAAAAAAAATACAGCCACACAAAACCCTCACACACATTGGCAGACACACAGATACACATACAATTTTATTTGTCCACCATAATTCTTTCCAATGAAACAACATGATCAATAACCATTAACCCTTTCGTGACCTATATGGTGTACGGTGTTTATCATATTTTCTTATACAGCTAAGAAGCCAAGATGCTGCTGTGTCATGCTGCATTTGTCACGCATTGCATAACGCGAGGACCATGATGACGAACGCTTTCGTCATAGATTGTATTCTGCATACTGCTTCTTTTAGATGCATTTAGTAAGCAACATTTTTTCAGCACAAAGAAATCCTTTTCTTTTATGGATAGCAGTATTTACAAACCAGGTCTAAATATAGGCAACCGACCACTAAATCTAGCACTACTCTGTGTCCCCGGGGATCCAAAAACTGTGCCCGGTGAAGCATGAACTGACCCTGTGTCATGAACGGGTTAAGGCAAACAAACTCACCTCTTCCAGTGTTCTAGAAGGAAGAGTTCGCTCAGTGGGGCCTCCAATCAGGAAAGTCTTGACCAGAATGTAGTTACGCTCCACCGACAACACATCGCAGATGAATCTTTCACTGAAAATATGAACAAAAACTTCCACTACAAAGCTTACATCCAGCTGTACTTCCTATTTCAAACTTCCATAGGAAATCTACGCTTCATTATAATTATTTGGAACTCCTTGTATTTTTCGAGGAGGGGGGGGTTGTTGTTGGTAGTATTTTGGAGGCCATTAAACAATGGAACTGAAAAGTTCAATCAAAGCAGTTCAAGTACAGTAGAACCTGCCATGAGGGCCACCTGTATAATAAGGCCACCTGTGCAAACGGCCACTTTCCATTTCTCCCCTTGCGTTCTTTCTTTATAATTTAACTGTGTCACCTGTCCAACATGGCCGCTGCCACCTTACTTTATCAATCCACTGTCAAATTTACCTGCCTCAGGCAGCCAGGCGTGGTCACTCGTTGCCCGACGTTTTGTCATAAATTCTGAATAGGCCCCTCACGCTGTGGACGGACCGTTATAATTTATTCACCTGTTGTTATTGTTAGTCCCTCCAGTGAATGTTTACCCAAGTTGACCAATGGGTAGGTTTAACAATAAATTTTCAACTGCTGGAGAGGGAACCGTGATCCATCATAACCTATCAGCCTTGCCCACAACTCATGCACAAATCATGTGTGAGGGGACTAGTCACTGTTTTGTTTACCTAATCTGTAACAAATGAACAATGGATGTTGACATGACTCGCGACAGAAGAGTCGCTCGTTCTCCGAGTGATGGCGACTGGCGTGTTTGTTATACTATGGCACTCGGTCTTCATTGTCTTACTTACATAATATTTAGTTTATTTTACCCTTGCACAAAATCAGAAAAAAACCCAAAAATGACCCCCCCCCCAAAAAAAACTTCTTACACCAACCACCTCCCCCCCCCTTTTTTCCAAAGAAAACAAAAACCATTTTGAATTCACTTTATGGCAGTCCTAATCCTGAGATCAGCCCCGGTTTGGACGTCGGAAGAGAAAGATTTGCTTTCTTCATTTTGATCAGTCCTGCCTAAGACGGCCACTTTTCTCCATAACAATGGGTGGCTGTTTTACATAGGTTTGACTGTATGTTTTGTCCTCCCAAGAACAATCTCCACCAGTCACGAGTCCTGTCTTGAGAACAGATGCTCCTCCTTTAAAAAGACCTATTTTGTATTTCGTTGGAAGATTGACCTCGACAAAAACAAAATAAACGGTAGTTTCCATGCTCTTTTTTCTTTTTAGTATGGGGTTTTACGGTGATGTTGAAAACATTTCGTTTCACTGTTTGGTGAAAAGCATGCTTCAAATCCTCTCTCCTTTGTAACAAGCCACTATCCAGTTTCTGAAGTACTCTGCAGCACTGAAGAAATCCTAGCAATCCCACCACACAGTGAACAAATTATAACACAGGTAATGAAAGTAATATAAATAATCAGATAGTAAAGACATTGCTATTACAGAATAAGCAAAAATTGAGGACAGCATCCAGATAGTCAAGAAACAGTGACATAAAATGTTTACCTGTCTTCTACTTTGTTTGCCTCTTGCTCAGCCAACAAAAACTCTTGGAACTTGTATTGTGACTGAAGAAGGAGGTAGGTATCCAGACAAGACACCATCACAGATAAAACTCTGTGAATATACAAAGAGCAGAAAACTCATGTAAGAAATACTTTTGGGGAGGGAGAAAAGCATTACCATGGAAATTGCAGGAAAGGAATTTGTCATTGTTCAATCCCCACCTTAGAATGAGATGGAAGCTTAAAATTATAAATTTGAGGTCTTTTTCTTACTAAAAGTGTTTCAGCTAAACTTGAACTCTGTAAAAAGTTAAGAAATTCATGTTTGGCAAAGGCATGACCTTATAAACAGAGTATAACTTATCTGTTGCAAAATGATGAGTAAGGAGATAATTTGCTCAAGCCAGCCATCCAGTAATCAAAATAAAATTAACATGATTTTGAAACTGCGACCTCATCCAGTCTTCCTGGACATAAAATATGAAAGCCCAGGTCTTATCAGCCCTGTGCTTACTGCCTGTTGTATCAACTGGCTCAGAGTAACGGGTTATACTGTTCCCCTGGCATAGGGCATAGTTAATGGAAGAGGATAGGTGGACTAGGTTTTCGGATAGGTGGACCCCGGAGTAAACGTTGTGAAATAAGTAGGTGTAATTTAGGATTAGTGGACCCCAGGGTCACCTTAGTGAATTAAGTAGGTTTAATTAAGGATTGGTAGACCTCGTGGTCATCGTAGTGAAATAAGTAGTTTTAATTAAGGATTGGTCCATGACCATGTCATTCAGATCTGGTCATCTTACTGTCTTATGACAACTGCCTTCTTCAAAACAGAGAAAACACAAGACATTCAATTCGCCAGCTGCCTCCTCTAAACACAAAGTCAAAGATACATTGTATTCAGCGTTGCTAGGTGCCGGTGTTAGATAGAGATTTAGGCTTTGGCCTACTCCAGATTCAGTCAAATATGCACAGATTTACCAAAAAAACAACAACCAACAAATCACATTAAAAAAAAAAATTAAATGTTAAAAAATATTAAATCTATACAAAAATTACGATTTAATGTCAAACCAAGACACCTTTTTTCCCCTTATTAGCTAGCCTTGGACCTTCCTTAACATGACGATGTCAAACAGCTTTTCATTGGGCAGGGGTCCACCTATCCAAAAAAGTCTGCAATTTGGCTCAGTAGACCCTGGGGTCCACCTATCCTCTTGGCTAGGTAGACCTCAGGGTTCTCCACTTCCCTAGTTAATCATGACAGAGAAGATAACAAACTACACTTTATGGAAGTTGACAGGATACCTCAGACCAAATGTGTATGACTGCTCATAGTTGAAGAGGGAGTGGATCTTTGCTGCTGAATCCACAAAAATGATTCTGTCGATGAGGGCCTGTGAAAAAAGAAATTTCTAGCATAATAAGTCCATTACTTTGGAAAATTGCAAAAGAAAAGAGGCATTTTTCGCCACAAAATAAATTAACAAAAATTTCAAATAAAAACCAAGTTCAACAAAGAAAGAATAAAAATGACTCCTTGAAACAAGCAAAGTCAAAGGAAAGGTAATGCAAAACTGATGGTAAAAGGCACTGGCAGGATGCAATATTCAACAAACATTCAAACTTTTTTTTCAACATTAAAGATACTTAAATTTAAAGGTTCGTACATTTTTTTACTAAAAGCTTTTTCAATTATCAAAAGGAAAAAACAACTGATATCACACTGCACTTACAGTGATGGAGTTTGGGATATCTCTCAAGCTGTAAGTCTCTCGAGAGGGCAATGGTTGACCCTTTAGGAGCTCATACACAGCAGGAAAGGCTGACAGTATATTGACCAGACGAATGAAATGCTGCAGAGAGACAAAAATAAGTTGCTGCTTGAGAATGAAAGTTACAGAGGGATAGAACTCAGTATCAATATAGGTGAATAACGTGTTGTTTTAATAAGTGTTTTACAACACTTGCAACACAATAAGGTCATATAAGTGCCGAAGATTAGAGGTGTTACAAGAGAGTAACAAACACGAAAAAGAAGGAGGAGAGATAAGGACGATAGATATTTGATAGGAAAGAAGAAGCAAACCACACCAGAGCACCTGCCAACCACCCGCCAACCACCCACTGAATCAAGTGAGCTGGTGGCAAATAATTGAAAGATTTTTATTTTTGTTGTCCAACTCTTGGTATGTTCCAACCCTTACATCATCTTTGGCTTTTGTTTTTCCCACAGCACCTATATCCTATACCATCCCATAAAGAGGCAAGGAGAGAAACAACTTTCCCCAAAACCATTCAGTCAAAGTTGAGCTTCGTGGTTATGTGTAACCATCTGCTAGACGAAGTCGACTGCCAAGACATCATATTCAAATTAAAAGCTCATACAATAGTCAGCAACAAACCCACCACGGCTGTTCACAGGCAGTACTTTAGTTCTACCGACATCCCGCAGTGTCCTTGCGCTCATCGAAACTCAAACCAGCCATTACGAACGGGGTCAAGAGGTCAGCGCGGGGAATTTTACATGACTGACAGATTCGTGATGAAAATGTTATTGTACTAATTTTAGGCTTTTTTTAACCTGCGACTAAGCCCAAACTACAACACCAACAGTGCATCAAATCATATTCTGTGAATAAGCATCATCTGACATATTTCTTAGAGCAATCATGCAACTAATTAAGATAAAGAAATACGAGATGACGAAGAAAGAAAAGTGGATACATGTTTAACACTTTGCAGTCACTTGGCGCAATAATGCGCAGGTGAAAATTATCAGTTCCGGTAACCTGGCGCACTTGTGCACCAGGCCCGAGAAGTTCGTTGTAGTCACTCTCCTGGCTGGGTGACCAGATGGGGTATTTTGAACTGCTGGCTGCGTGACTGCAAAGTGTTCAACATTGATAGAGGGTCATGATTTATTTAATTATATTTTTAACATGGTAGTTGCGGACGATTCCGACAATTTTATGATATAGGGTCAGAAATTGACTAAAGTTTAAAACTCACTTTGCTTTATCTTGGTGTTATTCCCTAAAGCAAAGATATTGAGTCTTGAGTGGAAATTTACAGCTTTTTGCAATCTGGCCTCAGTTTCCCAAGTCCAGCTGTCACATGTGACAACTCTTGATTAAAACATATCACTCTAGGATCGCGGGTATCACCAGTCAGGGTGTCAGCACTTACAACCGTACACTATACCTATTCAATCTAGATTTGTAAAAAGAATTTAAACTGTTGGTCAGTATACAAAGTTATTAACGTTTAAATTTAAATAATACTAATACTGAAAATGGAATCCGATTCGGTAGTTATATGTCTTGGAGAATGTCCATGTCATTTTTTTGTGTTATTAATAAAAAAAATCACAGAAAAACGACACAAAGTTAAAACTTGCACAATTTTTACAGTATACTTATCCCCAGAAGTTTGTAAAATGAATTGAAACTGTTGGTCAGTTTACGAACTTTTTCACGTTTAAATTCAAATAACACGGAAAATGGAATCCAATTCTTTAAAAAAATGTCTAAGACAACACAGCCCAAATAAAATCAAGATTGTGAAATTGAGATCGACCAAAGTTATATCGTCTTGTAGGGGGAAAGCTGAGCTTTAAAATGGTGGGTCATATGGTCATATCACATCTTTAGATCTGGAGATATCAGGGTGGGAAAGACACCATGGTTTGGAGGAAATGCATTACGCGGGCAAGCGGGGGGCACGCCCCTGGCGTCACGGCAGAGAGCACGGCTGACTGCTGATTTATTGACCAACACATGGATGGCACTGACCGCTGGCACAGAGCAACTAAAGGAGTGGTTTCTGGGCGAGTTGAACAGCCATGCCACGTCAAGCGGAACCCTATATCTACAACTAACAGTGGAGACATTTTGATGTGATGAATTTTTTTTTTTTAAGCAAAAAACCCCCCAAAAAACATTTTTATCATAGAAGGATATTACTAGCACAGGTGAACCAAATGTGAAATTCTGCTACCTTTTGAGAAGCACGATCAATGGGATCAACTGGCCAGGACTTGGGAGTGAAGACAGGTATGTCTTGAGGACCACACTCCAGAGCTGACCACAGCTCCACAAGCAATGCTTTGATGTATCCTGAAGGACAGACAACATGAGCCTGTTACTTTTTAGTTTTAGTACGAGTTTTACAGCACTTGCAATGCAATTAAGTCATATAAGTGCCGGAGATTAGAGGTATTACAAGAGAGTAACAAACACTAATGAGGAGGAGGAGAGATAAGGATATAGGTGTCTGACAGGAAAGAAGGAGCAAACCACACCAGTGCACCCACCAACCACCAGCTTACATCTACACATATAAACCCACACTTAATTCATAGATCTTACATTTCCTCACATCATAACCAATTAGCCTCATTCTCACCTGTACTCTGGAGTGCTTGAATCCCCAGTGCAGTGGCTGCTACCTGTGTAACCATGTACCCATAGCCAAACTTTTCGCAAATGCCCACCTGAAACCAAACAACAGAGGTACCAACTGGCAATGACCAAAAAATCCTGAATTTTTTAGACTCCATAGAAACTTTCATACAAGGGCTTCAAATCTACAGATCATAGTCTACTACATCATAAATCAAGACTATTTTTATGTAAAGTGCATGACATTTATAAGAGATTAGAATACAAATAAATGTATAAGGAGGCATACAGTCAAACCGAGTTATATTATTAATGGAGACACAAGGCTAGCAAAACAGCCTGATGGTTACCTTCTTAAACACTTGTTCTGATGGTAAGTGAAAACACAAGTTTAAGGATATCAATATTATTTCGTACCAGGATGAAACATGCGTTTATTATTGAAGTTGAAAGAATCTTGAGAAAAACTATAAAACATCTATATTTTGCATTGCATGCTTAAAATGGACAATCATTAACATAAGAAACCATGCAAAGGCCGCAGATCAAGTAAAAAAAAGAAAACTGCAAAAATTAATTTAAATCCTACCTGTAATTTTTTGGCATATCTGGAGTACATGTACCTCACAGACTCATTGAAAGCCCCAGTCTGATGCAGAAGCAGTATACCTTTCGCTGTGCTTGCAAAATTCAACAAGTTGTCCTGCAGAGTTCCTTTCCAAGATTCACTTAAAATAAGAAAAAACACAGACTGAACAATACAATTTTTTTTAAATTAAAAATTTCACCACAGTGAATTTTGGCCTAACGTTAGACTCAAATAATTCTGAAATTTCTCTCACAATTAAAGAAATGATAAAACAGCTAAACACATGACAACATATTTTCACTTGAAAAGATCTTTGGAATATAGAACCGTTATTTCTACAAAGAGGAAAATTTTAAAATCTAACAATTTATGCCCTCACATCTAATGAAAGTAGGCTGTTCAACAATGGAGACTTTGACACAAGTTTTTAATGAAACAGTAAAAAATAAGGAATCTGAAAAATGTGTGAAGGGCTTTTCTGTCAAAATTCCCAATAGTATTCGAATAGATAGAGAAAAACAAATAAATCTACACATAACTTGATTCACTACCTATTTGCTGTTGAAGAAAAGACTAAATCAGAGCAGTACAAAACCATTGTATACAACAAATTGTGTGAAAAAATTCAATGTATCCAACACCCTTTCAAAATGAAAAAAAAAAGTGAAGGTTAGCCCTTGTGAAAAAAAACGCTTGTCTCACTTCACCACAGAAATGAGACTACATGAGGGATTACATTGCAAAAGGGACAGTTTGAACCAACTTTTCTTTTTTCTGGGTTCTGATTTATGAAACTTGCAAATCCAAAATTGATATGTTATCAAAGTTTTTGTCATTCTATTCTG